TTCCAAAATTCTCTACTCAAGGCACTATTTAATTTTCATCTTCTATTATCACCATTATATTCCAATAAATTTCCAGCTATTAGATGGTGGGTGGCTGCGTCAAGTGTAAAAAAAAGATATTTGCACCAACACTTGTGACACAACATCTTATGGCCTTAACAAGTTAAAAAAAAAAAAAGTGGGAAAGTGGATCGTTTGGAGCACTGGTTCTCAACAGGGGCAACTGACAAGGTCTAGAGACACTCCTGGTTGTCACAACCCTGGATCTACTGAGCAGGACCACCCCAAGTGTCAACAGTACTGAGCTTGAGAAACCCTACTGTAGCAGAAGGTCAAGGTCACACTGTACTCTAGAACGGGGCCTCCAAAACTTCCCTTAACTTTTCAGTCTCAGAACTATGATAATGAAATCAGGCAACAGTGGCTCACAGCTATAATCCTAGCTATTTGGAAGGCTGAGATCAGGAGGATCACAGTTCTGAGGCCAGCCCTGAGCAAACAGTCCAAGAGACTCCACCTCCAAAATAACATAGCAAAACGGACTGGAGTGTGGCTCAAGTGGTAGAGTGCCTGTTTGCAAGTGCAGAGCCCTGAGTTCAAATCCCTGTACCACCAAAACAAACAAACAAATAAAAACATGATAATATTTTCATTTGAGGGTCTGGGATTTTTTCTTATGATGATTCTTCTTTTCTTTTCCTCTCCCCCTCCCCCTTCTTTTGGAGATGCAAGTATTACTATGTTGACCAGGCTGTCCCCAAAGTTGCAATTCTCCTGCCTCAGTCTCCTGAGTAATTTAAGATTATAGGCATGAGCTACCACACCCAACTGGAATTTAATGTCAGGCACTTTACAAAAAGCCTTCACATACTGTACCTATCAGATCATCTGTTAAATCCTACGTTGGCTAAGAAGTTGACTTAACCTATCTCCCACCATTCTGTATCTTGGAGACAACTTTAAAATCTTAACTCCAAAGTTGTTACTTCTTTTTACAATGCCTTCTTAAATTTTATCTTCTTTCTGTGCCTCGTCCAGTCTTGTATCTTTGATTCACGGTGCCCTGTAGACTTTAAGACTGAAAACTAGGTATGTAGGATGTGCCTAAAACAAATAAACAGACAGGAAATGTGAGTCTGAGTCCTACACAGATAAAGCATGCAAAGCGCCAGAAGGGGGCTGTTTTATAGGCGAGCTCTTCAGACGTACATGGTTTCGCTCTGATTAAATTTAGGGTGATCTGCCATGGAGCCACTGGTGAGGGAGGAAGGCCTTTGAAGGGATTCTGGCAGATGAACTTGCAGGGCATATTTCTGTTTAATAAGGTGAACATGCGCCAGGTAAAGATAATTCAGCAGTCAGTGCTTTCTAGAAGGTACAGTTTGCTCATGCACTTTGCGTACTAAGTGCTAATAGCGCTTTGGACAAAATGTTAATTCAAATTCAATGCATTAGATGGCTTTTATGGGCAGAAAGAGAAACAAGGTATTCATTACTGCAGACAGGTGGCTCTCACTGGGGAATATTCACACTTTCATGGGTCTTACCAGTAGAGAGCAAGTGTCCTTGGCCCAGCTTAGTTTGAGGGCACAGACAAAGAAAACTGCCTGCCGGTTACACTTCCTCATTCAGTAGGCCAAGGACACAGAGACAACATCAACAGATTCTCAGGACGGCCAGTTTCCTCAAGTTACCACAATCGTCCTCTATATCAATGCCCCACCGTGCCTCACAGAGCACCTCTGTGAAGGTGACAGTCTCTCTGCAGACAGCACTGTTTGGATGCTTCACAAGTGCCATGCTGGGCTTGACCCCCTAGTTCTTTCACAATTAATCAGCATTGTCTCTGACAATCAGACCTTTTCATCTCAAGGAGAAGTTCAGCCAAAGATGACACTAGCACAATAGGAGCTATCCATAACTCTTGGGAGGAAGCGAATCATTTTAAAGGCAGACAGAAGTCTCTAAAATGGAGTCCTATTTTAGAGGCACTCTTTAGGTCTTTAGGTGCTCTTTTTTTTTTTTTGGCAGGGGGTGGTACTGGGATATGAACTCAGGGCCTCATACTTGCTAGGCAGGTAGTTTACCATTTGAGCCACTCAGCCAGCTTTTTTGGTGCCTTTTGTGGGGCACTAGTAGCTCACAGCTGTAATCCTTGCTACTCAGGAAGCAGAACTCAGCAGGATCATGGTTCAAAGCCAGCCTGGGCAAATAGTTTGTGAGACCCTATCTCAAAAAAAAAACACAAAAAACTGGCTGATGGAATGGCTCAAGTGGTAAAGAGCACCTGCCTACCAAGTGTAAGGCCCTGAGTTCAAACCCCAGTGTGCCAAAAAAAAAAAAAAAATGGTGCAATCATTGTTGTACATCACTCTAATTAAGTAGGCCTCCAAAACCCATCCATGAATAATGCTGTCAGCACACCAGTGAGTGTGAAGTGAACTCCACATCCATACTTGGAGCATGATCCTTAACAGTCTTGCTGGAAAGCAAATCCACAGGTTGCAAAGGTTGCAAAGAATGAAGAATCAGTATTGCTGCCCAATCACCAATGTACACCTGTCTCTCTCCTATAGATGCAACTGGAGAGAACATTAGCAACATGGAGGCAGTAAGTAAAACAGGATTTAAAAGATCTCTGAGACAGATTTTCAGGCACTGCCTCAAAAATACTTTCCTAGCTGGGTGTGGTGGTGGGTGCTTACAGTCCCAGCTATTCCAGGGGCTTAAACCTAGGAGGTCAGGACAGGAGGCAACATGAGGAGATACCATCTCAAAAACAAACAAGCAAAACCCCCCAAAACAACAAAAGACTTTCCCATTAAGAAATGTATGGGCCTTCTCTCTTTCCAACCTCTACACCTCACCAAAGCCAACAGGAATTACCTGAGCTAACTTGCTTATTTCAGAAAAAGAGAGCTGCCTGAAGCTCACAATGAGACTTGCTGACGTCAGGTAAAACCAAGGCCTCTAGGATCCTCGGTGAGGCCCTCCACTTCATAACATACCCTCTACTAAGAAATGAAGCAGAAAAGCTGGCTCAGAAGCTCTGGATACAAATCTGACAGAGCTGAAAATTACAATGAAGCTACCTCTCAGTTGTACTCTAAAAATGTCTCAACAGAGCATAACTGAACGATGATGTGTTAGATCAGTTTTTATCAACTTAAATATAAAAGTTTTTAATGTAATAGGGAATTCCAGTTAGTGTTAAGACATTTAAAATTCTGTAAGTAGTCCTAAATAACGAGGGTTTTTTTCCATGATGTCACTTTTACTGGTGATAAGTTCACTGATCTCAAGTCAGAGTCCTGATTCCATCCTAGACATCTTCTATCCTATGTGGCTTACTCTTACTTGCAGATGAAGTGAAGGTGTAGAGGGGTTAAGTCATCAGCCCCAGGCCACACAGCTGCTAAGTGAGAGCTTAACTCTGACTCATGCCCAGTTCCTAGGTTTTCACCATTGTGCTGTCCCACCTCCTCTGCCTGCCAACCACTACAAATCCATGGACAACTCACCGACCACACTACTGCACTTAGAGTTCAAAGAGGGCTGGAGGCGTGGCTAAAGCAGTAGAACATCTGCCTAGCAAGCTTGAGGCCCTGTGTTCAAACCCCAGTACCGTCTAAAAAAAAAAACGGAAAACAACCAAGAACATAAAGAAATGTTAAGAAGACTCTGGCCCAGCCCCCAAAGCCCAACATGTGAGACCTGCCCAAATTACAGACCAGGCGCCTTTCCTGGTGGTGCAGTTCTCACTCATCATCCTGCCAGGGAAAGTGAGAGACAAGCGTGAGCGGTGCACAGAAGCCCATCTTGTGTACACATGAGATTTACTGATGCACATCCAGGAACTATAAATGACTAACGAGATACTAAACACAGCTTGGGGAGTCTGCTAATCTTTAACCCTATTAGTACGGTTTCTAACATAACAAAAAGTTATCAATGAAAACTCACTTCCAATCTACTATAAAGTACATACAATATGAAAGGTAAGACTCAGCCTGGTCCCAATCCTCCACTGTGAGTGAGGAGCATAGCTCCCCACATTTCCTCTCTATTCAGCTTACACGACAGTGACTGTCACACCCAGGCATCCTTTTTACTCCTTATATCCAAAATATGCCAATGAATGTTTTTTGTGGAACTATTCTTATAATTTTTCAAGATTATATTAATATTTTCAATACTAGCCTCTCCATAAACTATCCTGAACATGTGTTAAAGATCTGATGAAAATAATTTATCAGGAGTCAAACTGGCAATGGGGGGAACCATGTTACAAACTTAGGAAATTTTCTCTAAATAAGACCTTGCACTAGTGCACACTTAGTAGACTGGAGGCGTGGCTCAAGCGGTAGAGCACTTGCCTAGCAAGCACAAGGCCTTGAGCTCAAACCCTAGTACCACCAAAAAAATTTAAAAGAAAATAAGACAGAAACACATTTCCTGTCTTCAAAAAGCTAAACTATGACTAACAAGACATGTATCTCATAGTGTTATACTACAAAGTATCAAATAAAATTTTAGAAATTTCCAGCTACATGTAAGTTGTAAATTAATATTCATGTATTTCAAGTTAACTATGAGACAAGGTAAAAGTTTACTGAAAATTCCCAAATAAAACTCCAGAGTTTTCAGGTATTCTATCTCTTAAACTCATTTAAACCACACTATACTCAGTATCTCAAAACGCGCACTAGGGCTTATCAATAAGGTGGTCTTTCTGGCAATACTGGAGTTTGAATTCAGGGCCTCACATGTGCTAAGCAGGTGCTCTAACGCTTATGCCACGCCCCCAGCCCTAATATGATCTTGTAACTGCCCAACTTCAAGAGGTATTTTTTTAAAGTATGAAAATGCCATAATGAAACCCAGTATTGTGTGCAATTAATATATGCTAAACAAATGACGGCAGCAAAAAACTTTTAATACAAACAATCCAGTACAACCCAGTAAAAGGCCTGTGAAGAGTTAATATGAAAGACAGGTACCTCGTAGTTTGAGAGAAAATCTAGTAATTCTGACTGAGATGGGATGTAGAGAAGCGGCTTCATCACCCGACGGACAAACTTCTCAATGTAAACAGCACTCATGGGGCCTTTGTACTCGATTGGTCCAAAACTAGTACCAAAAAAAATAAAATATACCATGCATTAAACCTACAATGGACAGCTAAAATCAACACAACAGAATGAAATGTCTTGCTTAAGAAGCCAACTGGTTCAGACGTAAGTAGCCTGCTTTGCTTAGGAGGTGACTGGGAGCTAATTAAGAATCAGCATTTTAGCCAGGAGCCAGTGACTCACATCTGTAATCCTAGCTACTTGGGAGGCTGAGATCGGGAGGATCACAGTTAGAGGCCAGTCTAGGTAAATAGCTCAGGAGACCCCATCTCCAAAATAACCAAGCAACATGGACTGGAGGTGTGGCTCAAGTGGGAGAGCATGTGCTTTGCAAGTGGGAGGCCCTGAGTTAAAATCCCAGTACCACCAAAAAAAAAAAAGAATCAGCATTTTAACAGTGCAACCTTGTCTCAAAAACAAAACAAACAAAATAGAATCAGCATTTTAGGTGAGGGAAGGGGGAGGGTACAAGCAGCTGTTACCTTTATATAAGATTAATTCAACAGCAAATTAAATTCATTCTACTTTCTGAAAGAAAAATTAATTCGTACAATATTTATTTCCATCAAAACCAAACCCAAAGGATGAGTGGCCTTGGAAACTGACCACACAAGAGCTAGAGGATCCCACTATGTTGACTGTACACTAAAACGCAGGTAGGAGACTCTTTTTCCTCAGTGTCTGGTCACTGACATGAGGATCATGCTGGACAGTGAACCCTTGATGGACTCAAAAGTAGTTATTACTCCCACACACCTACAGAAAGGGTCACTGTATTGCAACAGAAAAGCATCACATGAAAGTAGGAAGTGGAGGCCATGTGAATCATCTTTTTCCTCTCCATTAGGGCTATTCACGGGGCACTCAGGAATTTGGTCCAGTACTCCTCCTCAGCTGATCAGATTCCAGCCTGGCTCTCAATATTCCCCTAAACTCATCAGAATTTGTGCACGGGCCTCTCAATCTTGCACAATACGACAAATATGGTAAGGTGGGAGAGGTACCCGAAATTCAGCAACTCTTCAGCAATTCTTCTCGATAGAAACTGACATTAAGCTTTTTGTAAATAGCAACAAGAAACAGCAAAGAATTACACATATGCTGTGCTCCCAATACAATAAACATACAAGATAAACACAATTCTTAAACAGCATGAAGAAAGTATGAAAGCATTCTGCACGCACAGCTGGAAGAGCTCAGAATTCTATCATTTCAACTTACCACAAGTCAGTTCAGTGTAAAATCTGCCATCATCATCATCACCAACTCCATCAATCACTAACAAATTTTAATTTAAAAGAAAAAAAGACTGGTGGGATGGCTCACATAGTAGAAGCACCTGCTGAGTTCAATCCCCAGTACCACAAAAAAAAAAAAAAAAAAAGCCAGGTACCAATGGCTCACGCCTGTAATCCCAGCTACTTGAGAGGCTTAGATGGGGAGGATCATAGTTCATGGCCAGCCCAGGCAAACAGTCCGAGAGACCCCATCTCCAAAATAACCAAAGCAAAATTGACTGGGGGTGTGGCTCAAGCTGTAGAAAGCCTGCTTTGCAAGCAGAAGCCCTGAGTTCAAACCCCATTCCCATAAAAAAAAAGTCAGAAAAGCATACGATAGCTTATTTTGTTCAGTAAAAAGAAGCCAATCGACCCTGGAACCTCATCTACACATGCCAACAGACTTGGCTGGATTTCTCTGGTGTGACATTACAAGGGTCCTAGTGACTTATAAAGGCTAACAAGATCCAACAAACCAGCTATCACTACAGGACGACCTGATTGAGGCCACTGCGGTCTGACAGAGGGCTGTGAGACCCTCACCCCTGCCCTGCTTCAGACTTAAACTTTTCTTGTAACATATCAATACAAACCAAAAAACCACTTTCACAAAACAAGCCCACTAGTTTCTCTAAGCAGCTACGGCAAGATAAGCCACTACAAGAAACAAGGGCAAAGCAGCAACAAAACCACACCAACAACAACAGTGTACTCAGTAATGAAGCCCAGTGGGCACCCGCACAATCACTATTAACTAGAAGTGCCTCACAATACTGGGAGTGCTCCCAAAAGCACACAGCTGATGGAAGCATGCATGTGTAAAACAGAGGTCTTGAGCATTCTAGGACAGAACAGGAAAAGGCTATGCATATGAAATGTTAGAACGAGCAGCAATGACTGTGAACAGACTTCACTGGGCAAAGATGAGGGGCAGCATTCCAAGGTGAGTATCAATCTCAAATTCCTCATCTGCAAAATGACACACACTTATATATGTATACACACACACACATAGATTTTGGAAGTACTTGCTAGGCAAGCACTCTACCACTTAAGCCATACCCCCAACCCTTTTGTGCTCTAGGTATTTTTCACGTAAGGCTGCAAGCATTTGCCATAGGCTGGCCTCAGACCGTAAACCTCCAACCTACAGCCTCTGGAGTAGCTGAGATTACAGGTTGACCACAACACACAGTTTATCGATTGAGACAGAATCTCACTAACTTTTTCTGCCTGAGCTGACTTCAAACTTCAGTGCTCCCAATCTCTACTTCCCACGTTGCTGGGATTACAGATGTGAGCCACTGTACCCAGCCTGAACTAGGCATTTCTAAGGTTCCTTTCATGTCCTTTTGACTCTTCTACAAAAGGTAAGAAAACGGAATAAAACAATAGTGTATACTCATGTATCTCAAGAAGACATGGGTACTCAAATGAAGAGAAGACTTCTGATTTTAATGCCACCTCAAGTTAGGCCAACTTCTAGACACCTTGCAAGGACTATAATCCCTAATACCCCCTTTTCCAAAGTCAGAGAATATTTCAGGAACTCAGTAGGGCAAGTTCAGTATCCCATTACTGAGCACAGAGTTATAAAACCTTGACGTACAGCACCTTATGCTTACTTTTATTTTACAAAGAAGGAAGTAAACTGGGCATATTGGCTCATGCCTGTAATCTCAGCTACAGGGGAGGCATGGGATAGAGGATCGAGGTCTGAGGCCAACCCAGGAAAAAAGCATGAGATCTTATCTGGGAAATAACTAAAGCAAAAAGGGATTGGGCCGTGGCTCAAGCGGTAGAGCACCTGTCTACCAAGCACAAGGTCCTGAGTTCAACCCCTAGTACCAGAAAAAAAGAAAGAAAAGCAGCATCCTTGAGACAGTTACTTAAAATCTTGTACTTTGGGCTGGGAGAGTGGCTCAAACAGTAGAGCACCTGCCTAGCAAGCTCAAGGCCCTAAGTTCAAACCTCAGTACTGACAAAAACAAAAAAACAAACAGACAAAAAAAAAAAAAAAAAAAAAAACTAGAGAGAAAATCTCCAAGTTATAGACAAGAAGTAAGATGGGGGAGGATCCAAAATTGGTCTTAATGGTCCCCAAGCAAAATCAGGCTTGTTCCTACAAATAGTGGAATTCTAAACATTTACTATCCAAAGGAAAATTTTGGGTACACAGTGTGATCTTGCCCAAATACTGCAAATCGCTCCTGTGGAATCCTGCTGTGAGCCACACAGCAGCCTCCTTTGAATGTAGAAGTGGAAAGAATGGGACAGCTTTTGATCCCTACTGAGCAAGGCCAGCACTGGGAGGAGGGAGAGGGAGAGCCTAAAGCAAAGCTCCTCTCCTCACAAATCATTCTCTTTTTCCCCTTATCCTTGCATAGACTTCCGGCCACCACCACCGAACAGAACAAAGCCCAAATTCCATCTTCTGCCTCCAAAACCTTTAAGTCAGACTTTCAGATGTGACCACACATTCACAGCAGGGTCTGGGCAGTACTCCAAAACCAAATACCGGTATTTCTGCAGCAAAAAGGGCTGCCTGCAGTACGCAGCCTCTTGTTACTTCAGGCTAAATGAATATATGTGGGCACAGTCTTCTTTGTGATATTAGAATTGTAACTATGGAAATGTGGACCAGTAGTAATTTTCTTCCTAATAAAAAAGATGGTAAGATATCCCTCACCTCTGTCTTTTTTTAACCCCAATACCTGGGGTTTTTGTTTTGTTTTATTTTTTTGGTAGAACTGGGGTTTGAATTCAGGGCCTCATTTTTTGGTGGTACTGGGATTTGAACAAGGGCACTCTACCACTTGAGCCATTCCACCAGCCCTACCCCAGTACTTGGAATGGAACCCAGGGTTCTCGTGCATGTTACACAAGTGCTCTACCATGAGATATATCCCCAGGCCTTTACTTATTTTATTTTGTTTTGAGACAGCATCATGCTAAGATGCCTAAGCTGGCCTTGAACTCAAAATCCTCCTGCCTCAGCTTCCTGAGTAGCTGTGATTACAGATCTGTACCACCACACCTGGCATCAGACACCCTCTTGACTATGCCACCTGTCAGGTAAGAAGATGAAGAATTCTGTGTATTTTTGCACTGCAAAACACTTTTGGAATAGCTGAAATGTATGCCCAAACAATGGAATAATCTGTGCTTTGACGCCAATACTGTGATATACATAACATAAAAGATGTTGCAAAAGTGAGAAAAAGCAGCTTAGAAAATAGTATTACTGGGGTTTTTTGGTTTTTGGTTTTGTTTTTTTGATGGGACTGGGGTTTGAATTCAGGGCTTCACGCTTGCAAAGCAGGCACTCTACTGCTTGAGCCACACCTCCAGTCCTGTATTATTGTTTGATTCCAGGTTTGGCTTATAAGAAGGAATAGGCATATATATTCACAAAAAACAAGTCAAAACATGGTGATTATATCTGGCTGATAAAATTATCAAGAGAGCTTTCAATTTTTAATTTACTTTTGCTTACCTGTATTTTCTACATTAAATCTCTAATACTGTCATATAGGAAAAAAAAATTTATAAATCAATGAACTTATGTGAAATTAGAAACACCACTGAAAAGTCCTTACCTTCGATGATATAGATGTATTACAGGAAAATAAAAGAAGTGCTTCTGTTTTCTGCATTTCCCCTGGTTCCACCAACAGTTAATTGCCACAAACAACACCTGCAGACTCAAAAAAAGGTTTCAAATGATTATGAGCAACAACTGAACAGTTACCAAGAATTAAAAGATGAAATTATGAAACTGGAACTAGCCCTCTCTTGCTGAAACAAAGTATTGTCAAAAAAAAGAAGTACAGTTTCAAGCTTTCAAAGAAGGTCAACATCTACCACTAAAAAAAAAAAAAGACATACCAGGTGCCTGTGGCTCTCACCTGTAATCCTAGCTACTTTGGAGGCTGAGATAGGGAGGATAGCAGTTCAAGGTCAGTCCAGGCAAATAGTTCAAAAGATCCCATCTCCAAAATAACCAGAGCAACATGGACTGGAGGTGTGGCTCAAGTAGCAGAGCTCCTGTATGTAAGTGCAAAGCCCTGAGTTCAAACCCCAGACCCAACAAAACAAAGAAAAAAGACAGACTCTTTTCCATGGTGTGAGCTAGGACTTGGAATCTGGCCTAAGAGCAAAAGTGTTTGCTCTGAAGTTTAAAATTAATGAGAACCAAGGACCTTTTTCTAAGCATAAATACACTAACATTTAAAAGGAAGTGTCTCTGGGGTTTGGGGTGCAGTTCAGTGTTACAGTGCTTGCCCAGCACGGGTGAAAACCTGGATTTGATTCTCAGCACTGGAAAACAAAAACAAAAATGAATATATCTTTTGACTGTCAAATTGAGCCTCTGAAAATGAAACAGAAAGTGTTACTGCAAATAAAACATCAGGAATGTCAAAAGACTTTTTTTAACTATATAGTTTCAATTTTTTTTTTTTCTGGCAGGACTGGGTTTTGAACTCGAGCCGTTGCACTTGCTAGGCAAGCACTCTACCACTTGAGCCACTCCTCCAGCCCTATAGTTTCAATTTTAATATAAGAAATTTTAAATGCACAGTAATCAAATGATATTTGTTCTCTTTGCACTGGTAACAAAGTTACCAATAAGCCGAATATATTTTTCCTATGGATTTTTTTTTGTCCAATTTTCTTTTTTTTTTCTTTTCTCCTTTTATTTTATTGTTTCTACATTTACTTACATATGTATGCATTGTTTGTGCCACACACACACACACCCCACCCCCGATCAAAAGACTTCTTAATGACTATTTTAAAAACTAATAAAGACAACTGATTGTTTAAGCCATGCTCTAAAAGGTAATGCTGAAAGTAAAAAACACAGATTAAAGGGTTGGGGATGCAGTTCAGTGGTGAGTGCTGAAATGGTACAATAGACCCAGATTCAATCTCCAGCACTGCAAATAAATAAACCGGTAACATGGATTAAATACATATACGTTTATAAGTAGATGTGAAGTATTTAGAGAAAAATGTCCCTATGTCTACAATTTAGTTTGAAATGTACTAAAAATAAGGATTAATAGATGGATCAGAGTGTCTCATCTTTGGAACTCTTGTCATCTTAGGCTGGATGGATATAGGGGTTGGGGTTGTGTTTGTTTTTGCTGCAAGAGTATGTCCTAAGAACTGATTGTAGGATGGAGTAGGTTGCTTAACTGCTTTCCTGGTCTCCACCCACTGGATACCAGTAGCATTCCTCTCTCAAGTAGTGACAACCAAAATGTCTTCACTAGACCAAATGTCCTGGGAGCAGGGCAACAGCAAAAAAAACACCTCTAATTGAGAACCTCGGCCCTAAGGGTTAGATGGATAAACTCCTGACAACTTTGCTAGCTGTTTGAAATTTTCCATTATAAATATTTGAAAAACTATGATGGAATACTACAAATGAAAAGCCACCTTCAAATTCTTTATACCGTCTAGCACAAAACATCATTGCTCAAAACTCAGAGGACTCCTCTAAGAGTTTTAGCATACATTTCAAAGACAGAAAAACAATTTTTTATTTTTGATTTTTTTTTTGGGAGGGGGCGTTTAGCAAAAGCTCTACCACTTGAGCCACACCTCCAGCCCATTTTGGAGATAGGATCACTCGTACTATTTGCCCAGGATGGCCTTGAACCTTGATCCTCCTGATCTCAGCCTTCCAAGTAACTAGGGTAACAGGTGTGAGCCACTTGCAAAAAAACAACATCTTAATGTTGACGACTCATTTTTTTTTTTTTTTTTACTCAAAACTAGGGTACAATCTACCATCTTGTCAATTTTACTACTCCACATAATTCAAGAGATTTCTGCTGCTTCTAAAAATAAATCTACTTCTTTTTCCTACTGAGCACACAGAAAAACCAGGTCTCAATTTGGAAGGTGCTTTTATAAAATTTTTTGAAAGGAGTAGGGTAGGTACTGTGCATGCAGCACAACCCCAACTGCCTGTCGCCGTGGGATCTTTAACAAACCGCCAAGCTCCTCCAAGTCTGAAGGCCCCTGTTTCAGAAAACCAGGTCTAACAGCGTCAACTTGCAGAGCTGTTGTGAAGATTAGCCTGGCAAGAGGAATACTGTCATTATTCAGGACACACATTGACAGCACACTAACAATAGCATACACTTAACCTAAAACATAATGGATCCTGTCCCCACATAGGAACAGGACCTATGCTATCCAGATTTAGAACACTGGGCAATGACTAGCAAAGCGGTGCTCTCTTTTCCCCTGGTGTACAGCTTGCCTCTCAGTGTTCCATTAGAATTCCTGTTTCGTCCCTGGAAGTATTAGTGTAGTAAGGAATGCAGAGCTCTGTTTATACAGCATTTGGTACTTTTTCAGGGACATAGATTTAAAAGGCTTTGGTGGGCTGGGGAGGATGGGGCCTAGACACTTCTTGTTTCTAACAAAAAACCACCGAGAGTTCCAAATGAACTTCTGCAACCCAGGTGCCTGAGCTCTGCAACTTCTACAAGTGAGTTAACTCAGACTGGTGTCTCTCAGCTGGGCCTCTTACAAATCTGGGGGCACTTTTTGCTTGCTGTAATGACTAGGGGAAGCTATAGGACTTCCCTCCAAGCACAGGGAAGAGTCATCTACACCATCCCCCAGCAGTTCTACAGGCCTGCCAAACACTGATGTTGGGCAAAACCCCATTTGTTATTCTCTAGATGCAAACCCTCACTCCATTTTATACACAAAGATAAGGTACAGCTGCTGTATTCACTGACTTCCTCAGGAAGGCGACTGCTAGGGGAACTGAGGGCAGAAAGCAGTGTTTGGTTCAGGACCTTACCAGGAACTACTCGTCATCTTGGAAAATCACTTGCAATGGCCCTGTGTTATCTGAGCCACCAGCATACCACACCTTTAAAAATGTCTGCATTTGTAACTGTCCCACTCAGAGTGGCTCTACACAGAGGGACAAGGAGCTGCTTTACCTACATATTTATATACTAAAATACATGAGATTTAGCTATAAATCTCTTCTTTCCCACCACTTCTTTGTTACAACTAGTGTACTAGATTATTTTGAAATTGTATGTACAGGGATGGTTCACTGTCTGTGAATTCCCTTTCAGGAAGAAAAAAGAACAACATAAAATACTCATTTTCTGTTGGTTTTTTTCTTCTTCTTCTTTTCATTCTAAAAATACTCATTTCTCTAGCCAGGCGCCAGTGGCTCACACCTGTAATCCTGGCTACTCAGGAGGCAGAGACCACAAGGATCAGCGTTCGAAGCCAGCCTGGGCAAACAATTCAAGAGACCGTATCTCAAAAAATCCATCAAAAATACAGGGCTGGAGAAGTGGCTCAAGTAGTGGAGCATTTGCCTACCAAGCAGGAGGCCCTGAGTTTAAAACCCCAGTACTGCCAAAAAAAAAAAAAAAAAAAAAAAAACAACACCTCACTTTCTAAGGAACAACTGGGACCCACTGGGCTAAAAACCACTGACTTAACACATGCCTCATTTGCTGCTCATGCCCTGTCCTACCACAAAGGCAACGCTCACTGAACACTGCCCACACAATTCAAGGTCAGGCTTGCTACAATTTCAGACTCACACATGAACTTCTACATAAAGTCCCTCACTAGCAAACATCATATGGACACACAAGAACCAGGACCTTCTAGGCATGGTGACACAGGCCTACAATCCCAGAACTTGGGAGGCGAAGGCAGGAGGACAATGAGTTCAAAGCCAGCCTGGGATATGAGACCATCTCAAAAAAAAAAAAAAAAAAAAAAAAAAGAATGAACCAGGATCTTCAGCCTCCCTACCACCTTCAGTATTGAAACCACAACAGCCTGGGATCCCAGATGAACACTGGCCTATGTCTTAAGACGCAGAATCTACTCCCACTCTTGCCTCTAACTGACCGTGACCATCACAGAAATCCTGTTTACAGAAGCTTTATGACTTACCAAGTTCACCTACAGTTCACCTGGGCAAATCCCCAATTGGGTAAGGTGTCTGCAGGGAGGCACCTTCCCCTGCACAAAGCTTGACAGTTGTTAGCATCTTGGGTGGAACATGAGCATTACCTGGTCTGAAAGCTGGCTTGCTGCATGCTCAATTTCTGCCCTGGCTGCGATGGACTGGCCACACCATGGGGCATAGAAGAATAGCAGCACCACCTCCGAATCCTGGCGAATGAGCTCTGCATAGTCCAGCTGCCCCTGGAAGAGGTCAAGGACTGGAGACCTCGAGGAGAAAAAGCTGACAGGTGGCTTTGCTGGTATTATCACATCTTTTGCTCGACTAAAAAAGAGCAAACACAACAAGATTGCTTAGTTTGTTTTCTTCTAACATTGGCTTTGTATGGAAGGAGAATAAAGCTTAAAAAAAATGGAATACCCAAATCACTACCCTGAAACAAAAGTCATATACTAAGGGGATGGTCTAGCTGAGCTAACGCAGACATGAATACTACTTCAGAAATGACTCTTTGGTAGTCCATCCCAGGTGTGTGCTGGGAGAGCAGCAGAAACCAGAGTATCCACATCTAAGACTCCATCCTCACCTCTTTCTAGCCTGGCTCTCCACAGGAGCCACTGATCTCCAGGATGCTAGGGACACTAGCTCTCCAGCTCAAAGGAACGGAAAAGAAGCATACACGCACACTAGTAAGATTTCTATGGGAGATGCTTACAATTGACTCAGCTTTGAGAAAACATTGCTTATTTAGGTAGACTATAACTACCTAATGCCTCTAATTACCTAAGGCATTCAGGGGAAAGTAACAATGGTAATATATAGCTCTCCACATATATCATAATGCAAAGGGTATGAAAGATGAACAACAGAGCAATACCTATTTAAGTGGAAAACAGGCTTTCTGAACAGCTGAGGTTCCCAGCAGGCAGAAATCAGGAGGAGAAAGAAAATAACATTGAACAAGTAGTGAGAAGTCAGAGGGGCCACAACTTCCTACTCGGGCAGGTTTGGGCTAGGGCAATATCCCCCCAAGTTAAAAGGACCTAGTAAACACCTTGAGCTATTCATGCAGCTATACCATCATGGCACAGAGCCCTTATAGCAGCTTAACTAGGAAACAGAGAATACACAACAAAGCTGACAGCAGGCACAGCAGTAGTGCTATGCTCCCTTGCCTGGCTGTTCACCATTTTCTTCACTTTTAATGGCATCCTAATAAATCTTTGTTTTCTCTTAAAAAAAAAAAAAAAAAAAAGGAACTCTAAAAAGTACTAGATTAAGCCAAAAGAAGGCAAAAAAAGAACCAAAAGAACAAAGTCCAGAAGGTAGAAGTGGAAAACAAGTAGCAAGAAGACCTCGTCCCAATCACATTAATAGCGACATTCCTTATAATAGGACAGAAGAGCTCAACTGAGAAGAGACTGCCAGACAGTATGAAGCAAGACCCCACTATATGTCACCTGCAAGAGGCACATTTTAAATATAAGGACACAGAAGCGTCAAACAGAGAAGATAAATCATGTAACAGTAAGTGTGGGATTTAGCATGCCTCATCAGACGAAAGGATAAACAATCAAATGTTACTCCAAAACTAGAAAACAAACAAGAACTTTGACTCAGACTTACCACAACTTGGATTATTTCAAAATAATTACGGTGAGCGAAAAAAAGCGAGCTACGAAAGAGTACTGCACCCCCAGAAATCCCCAGAGGCAAACATCTCGAAAGGAGCAATTCTACTCATCCACTCAAACTAACATCTTAAGCCTGCACTGTACGCAGAGCCTTCAGCCTGTGTAGAGTGCTTTCATAACTGGAAGCACTCAATCACTTACACAATTGTTCAAAAATATTCACTAAGCAACCGCCAGTGTGCTTCCTGCACAGGTCCTGAGGCTGGAGCAGCTAGCTTGCTATGCTCTCAAGGAGCTTCCTTCCTAGAAAAGGAAGAAGGGCACATAACCAAACACATAAGCAACTAACAAGAAGAGAGTTTAGCAGCTGATGTAACAGAGGGACATGGCAGCTCTTCCAATGCGGTGGTGGTGGTTAGAGCAGTATCACTGAAGCTGAGGCCTGAATGACAAGACAACCATGCAAAATGGTGGGGAAGGCCTGTGGCAAAAAGTGACACATTTTCAAGGGACTGAAAACTCTGCTCTTTGGAGGCATTATTTTTCTACCATTCAAACCCATGTTAAACATCAAATAACGCACTCTGAGGGGAACGCAGATATCTGACAACTTAAGAAAAAGGGAATCATCAATGTAGTATTTCTGCTCTGCAGATTCAGAGGAGTTCCTAAAGTCAATAAGCCAGATAAAACACAGGGCCAAACAAAAGATAAACATTAGCCAGAGAGAGAAACACTAGCCTCTGCTTCATCAGGAACATTCACTTTTCATTTATTTCTTCAGTTTGCTTCAGATTTTTTTTTAAAATATACATAGATCCAAAATTTCCTGTAGCTCTAAAGTCTAAGTGACAGGTACAAACACTGTGAAGAGTGCAAAGAAAGACCTGTTGCAAACTTTTTTTTGGGGGGGGAGGGTGGTACTAGAGTTTGGACTCAGGGCCTTGCATTCTTGCACCTGCCAGGCAGGGGCTCTACCACCTGACTCACACCCAGCCCTTTGTGCATTAGATACTTTTCTAATAGGCTGCCCTGGCCAGCCTGGACCCTGATCCTCCTGATCAATGCATCCCAGCTGAACCACCACACCCAACACAAATTAATTTTTACATGAAATTTGTAACTCACACCTCCTTCCAAAGAGGATCTTAGGCACCTTTGAAATAAGAAAATGCAATAAATCAAAATGAATATATACACATGCATGTGTGCCTACTACACACACCCACTTTTTTTTCCCCTTCAAATCAGAGTAAAAAGCAAGCAAGCAGGATGAAGTCATGAGGAATTAATGCACAGAAATGCAGGTAGTATTATGCACAGTGGTGCACTTCTGTAATCCCAGCATTTGGAAGGTTGAGGCAGGAGGATGGTGAGCTCAAAGCCAGCTTGGGCTACACAGCAAGATCCAGTCAGAAAAAAAGAAAAGAAAGAAAGGTAGGCAGAGATTAAATGCCCCAAAATGCACAATTATCAGTTGTGTCTCAACCCTACATCAACCTTTGTATACTATCTGTCTTGAACTGAGCTAACCAACAGACACTAAAGAGGGCAGTCACTTACTTCAGGTCTGGAACTATTAATAAAAATTTTAAAAAAGAAAAAAAAAGACTCCACTCATTCTCCCTTAAGCCTATGCCCTCATTAAAAATCTTAAAATAAGAAAAGGGGAACAGAAATGTTAGTCAGTTGTATAGCAATAAAATAGTACCTTGACACCATTGCATCAAAAAAAAATTTTAAAACCTGAGAAAGATTGAGTCTATTAAATAACTTTCCAAATTGCCAGTAGCACAGGAAGAACGGAGGTAGCATTCACAGGCTCACGCTCCTTGACAGAAGCAGGGAGGGACCCCAGTCTTCAAGCTCTGGAAACCGGATTTACACCTTCCTTTTCCTGAAATCTCAAAGGTCTTTCTACCTACTAAGTCATATTAAGTTGTCTTGGATCAAACATTATATATTATGTCTAGAGCTGGACAAACTGATGAAAAACTCCCCATCTTTAGAGGTGGAAACCTTTCTTCTTAGTTTGAACCCAAATTACAACTTGACAATATTCTTCCTTGTAAATTACTCCGTGTATTTCCCTTCTGGAGAATAATGACAAAAGAGGAGGTTAAAAGTCTAGTTTGTGAAGATAAAGAATCCAAATTCCAGTTCAGTCCCTTAATTTGTAGGTATGATTTGAAGCAGGTTTTGTAACAGGACCAAGGATCCTACATTGGGAAGGATACAGTATCTCTGGACTTGAAACTGTGTTAAAAGACTAAATGCATTCACAAAACTACTAGTTCCCAAGCAGGCACTTGTCTGCCAGGAAACATCTGGCGATGTCTGGAGACATTTCTGGTTGTCACACTGCAGGAAGGGGGATGCACTGATGGCATCCAGTGGGTACAGGCCAGGAATGGCACTAAACATTCTAGAATGCACAGGACAGCCCCTGCAACAGAATTATTTGACCCAAAAAATCAATATTGCGGAGTGAGAAACCCTGCTGGTAATACAGCCCCTCAAACATGGTAAATGCTCAATGATAATTATAATTTGTTCTTCCCACTAAAATCTCCAATCCTTTGGCATCTCTCTAACAACAGGGGCCACACAGTGTACTCAAAAACCTCAAGTATCCTGAGCTGAAGTCTCCCTCTTGGCTGCTGGAAGGACACATCAGGGGCAACAAGAGAAGTCTCAAAAGATGCAGTACAATCTGGGAGGCCAGAAGTACAAGTTAAATATAAATTTGGATCTGTGTTCTTCCTGATTACCTTCCATTATCTTTCATTCTTCCTGCTCACTAGACCCCAGCCTACTCAAGCTCTTTTCCAATTCCAGGAAAACAAGCTTGACCTCAAGCTTTGCACATGATGTTCCGTCTACCTTGGACCTTCTTCCCCCAGATCTTCCCAGAGGCTGACTCCTTCCTCTCCTTAAGAGAGCTTCAAATGTCACTGGACCATACAATTCATAGCACTGATGAAGCCCTTTAACATTATGTTTCTTCTACTACCGCTGTTTATCTCATGCACTGAAATAGCCGCTTTACTTATTTATTTACTTATTATGTATTTATTTGGTGGGACTGATGTTTGATCTCAGGGCTTTGCACTTGCAAAGCAGGAGCTCTATCGCTTGAGCCACACCTCCAGTCCATTTTGCTCTGGTTATTTGGGAGATGGATTCTTGGAGGAGAACTATTTGCTCGGGCTGGCCTCCAACCGCGATCCTCCCTATCATTCAGTCTCCCAAGCAGCTACGATTACTGATATGAGCCACCAGCACCCGGTTTGAAACAACCAGTTTAAATCAGCGCTGATCTAAAGAGTACTGAGCACACAGCGGATATTGATCATGAGATCAATGAGCGCCTGAATTCCCAAAGGAGTCCGGCACTCTAAAAAGGTTGTGAATCACCTAACTGTAACAGGGAAATGAAAGTGGGGGAAAACGAGGGTCTCAAACCTGAGCAGAAATGACAGGTCACCCCCAGACCCCAACAGGTGAAAAGCAGCTCAGAAACCCGTCCCACGCCCCTCGGTCCTAAAAAGTGGGAACAAGGCAGCACCCGGAAACCTCGCCATATGGCTGGCGGCTGTACCGGAACGGGGGAAGGTGGGAGGCCACGATCCCGGGCCCACGAGGGTCAAACCCCTCGCGCCAGGCAAGGACAGGCTCGACTTCCCCTGCAGAGAACGCTATGACCCTCGACCCTGAACACCCCGAGCCGGGCCGGCCGCGGAGCCGGGGGTCTGGGCCGCCTCACCTGCAGGTGAACTTGAGGGCGAGGAGCAGTGCGCAGCCGAGCGCCACCGCCCCGCAGAGCAGCTCTGGCCGCCGCCGCGCCATGAGCGAGAAGTCGCGCAGCCCGCGGCGGAGCCGGCCCTCCGAGGACGCTGGGGCTGAGGCCTGGCTGGGGGAGCCGAAGCCCGCGGAGCCGCCGCCGCCACCCTCGTCCTCGGCGTCGTCGCTGCTGCTGCTGCTGCTGCCGCCGTCGCGGCCTCCGCATTCCGACATTACATGCTCCCCGTCGCCGGCTTTATACCGCCGCCTCCGTCGCCACCTCGGGCCCAGGGGCCCGGCCTGTGGGTCCCCAATCCTGAAAGCCCGCCCAGCCCGCTAACCCGGACCCTCCACGTCAGCCGCGCCGAGGCGGCGCCCCGCCCTCCGGGGCGCCGTCTCCGGCCCACGTAGCCTGTGCGGTCGTCGACTCCGCCCAGAAGCACCGCCCCCTGATGGCCACGCCCCCAGGCTGAGTCTGCGCGGACTCTGGCACCGCTTGCGGCCCGTCATCTCCCCTCAAGCCCCGCCCCACTCTGCGAAGTCTACGCGGATACGCCCTCGTTTCTTGCTTCTGGCCCCGCCTCTCGGTCACGGAGTCTGCGCAGGCGCCGCCGCGGCGCATCCGGAAGCAGGTGTGGTGAGTGTCTCAGCACGCCCACGTGGAGCGGCGTTTAGGTGGCAGTGCCGGCTGGCTCCGCTGCGTATTAGAAGCCGTGCTCCTCAGGGGAAAGCCGAGGCTTGCAAACGTCATTGTTTATGTGTGTGTAAGTTTTTGCAGTACGGGGGGTGGAACCCAGGGCCTCGTGCACGCCAGGCAAACAAAATCACTGAGCTACATCCCCAGGCCAGGATGTAGGTCATTTACCTCCTGTGAGGTCTTACAGCAGGTAAATGACAAATTCCCACTTTACGGCGGGCGGTCCTGCCCGAGAAACCACCAGCGACCCATTGTGTGCCCCTAAAGTCTCGGCTGTGGTTTTTGGTTTTTGGTTTTTGGTGCTTTTTTTTTGGATTACGGTTTGAACCTAGGGTTTTGCGCTTGCAAAACAGGCGCTCTACTGCTTGGGCCACACCTCCAGTAATTTTGCTTTGGTTATTTTGGAAATGGGAGTCTCGAGAACTGTTTGCCTGGGCTGGCCTTGAACCGTAATCTTCCCTGTCTCAGCCCCCCCCCCCAAGTAGTGAGGCAAGCAGGCGTGAGGTACCCGCGCCCAGCTCGGTTGCACTTTTTTACTGGTACGCGGACAAGGCGCAGTACTTAGGCAGTACTTAAGCTGAGCGTCATGGTGCACGCCTGTAATCCCAGCACTCACGAAGCTGAGGCAGGAGGATGGAGAGTCTGAGGCTAGCCTGGACAACATAGTGATCTCCTGTCTTAAAATGGCAAAAAATAAACCTTAGGGAAAAAGAATATATATTTCTGGAAGGACTTATTAACGTTGGGCTTTACCATTTCAAGCTCTCTCGATTTCTTCATGTGGACTTAATTTGCATAGTATATTTCTAATGAAAACATACAGTCATGTCAAAAGGCCTGGTTGACTGTAGGGTGGTGGCTCAGAGTCTGGCCAGGCTTCCATAAGACACCAGGCGTTTGCTCGGCCCTGATAAGGTTCACAGTACTTTGTCGCCCCTGGTTCATCTCATGAGACCACAATCCCCCACCCTGGATTAACCAAACGTTGTGCACTTGCCTCTTCTGTTTCCAGGCACTTGGGCTGGTCCTCTCACCCAAGCCTTGATTTCGGAATGCAAGGCTGTGAGGGCCAGGTTGCCACTCTTGGAGGTTAGGCATAACATCCATGTCAACCCACGGCTGAGCTTTCATGGCCACTCTATGCCACGATCAGGCTGGTAGGGTTTGGTGGAGAGGGTGAATATAGAGGATGTACTTTGCATACATGTGTGAAAATGGAACAATAAAACAGGTTGAAATTAGGAGACTGAGGGAGAACAATGAGGGAGCTGACTCTAAGGTATATTATAAGCATGTGTGTAATTATCATAATGAGCCCCCCCATACAACTAATATATGCTAATAAAAAAATGTTGGTAGGGTTTGAGAAGTGTGTGGAGAGGATAGTATATAAATGGGGGGGGGGGAGTTCTCCACATAACACATATGTGAGAAACCTTAGAACCAGAGAGAAAAGCTATTAGTTTTTAAAGTTTTCAACAATTTACTTACAAGGCAGGGCCCAGGACAGCAGGTGATGCAGGAGGGAACCCCAGACCTTCTGCTAGGTACTTCTGACAGTGGTATCCATGTTGGGGACCTTAGTGTTTTTTGGTTTCAGCTTTTTTATTTTGGCTTGGCTGTAGTAGGTTTTGAACTCAGGGCCTCAGACTTGCTAGGCAGGTGCTCTACCACTTAAGCCACTTCAGCAGTCCTTTGCTGTGTGTTGAGTATTTCCTTATTTCCTGCAGCTTTATAACTTTATTTTACTCAGTGATTCGTTCTCATCCACATGACTATAGAGTTTTGACAAAGGTCACCAAAGTATAGAGCTTGTTTGGTGAGTCTTCATCCTCCTTACATTTTCTGGATAATCACACACATGTCATTTGAGACATTCCTTATTCCTCTGGCCCAGACAGCTTTGTTGACCCTGGGATCTGTGCAACCATCTGGACTCCCTATCTCCTTCATGACAAATTTCCAGATCTCTTTGAGCACCTGAGGGGCACGCTTCTTAAAGCCCTCTCCACGCATCCACTTGTGCATGTGGAGGGCGTGTTCTCGGTCACCACCTCACTGATGGCAGAATGGCCCTTCCTGCCACCTTTCTTCACTCTGCTGGGCCCAAGGTGAAAAAGAAGAGCCCTTGTGTTGAGTATTTTTGAGATAGGTGCAAAAATACTTCCTGGTCTGGCCTCAAACTCAAATCCTTCTGATCTCTAGTTCCTTAGTAGCTAGGATTACAGGGGGTTTTTTGGTTTTTTGAGGCAGGGTCTCACTAGGTAGCCCAGGCTAGCCTCAAACTCACAATCCTCTACCCTAGCCTCTGGAGTATTGGGATTACAGGTGAGGGCCACCATGCCTGACTCCTGGAGACTTTGCATCATAACACCAGAATAGGCTTTCTACAAATTGGCTTTCACCCTTTGCATAAGACTCACAAGAAGCCTATATTCTAATCTCCCCAGCCTACATACTACAGTGTTTGCCAGCTGTGCCAGCCACTCTGGGAATGTGCTATCTTTCAGTTTCTCAGTTGATGCCAGTCCCTTCATTAGTTAAATGCCACCAAGGACTCTGTGCAAAGGATCCTTCCAGAGCAGGTGCTCCATGAAGGGTACGGGTTTTGCAGAGCAGCCTGCCTGCATAGGCAGGCACCTCAGCCACAGGGTAGGAGCACTGGGCAGAGGGAGGAGTCCCAGATGGTAGGAAGGATTCATCTGCAGCCTCCACATTACCACTCCAGGACAGGTGAGGCAGCTCACTGCACCCAGAAAACAATATGGGGACACAAAAACTTGCACAGCAATGTGCATATTCACAATATCCAAACAGTGGGAACCACCCAAGTGTCTTAGCTGGAGAATGGAAAACAAAATGTCATCTCTCCACACACTGGAGTAGTGTTCAGCCATAAAAAGGATGAGGACTGATGCATGCTAAGACATGGCTGAACCTTGAAAATACGCTCAATGGAAGAAACCAGTGAGAGGGCATATACTGTGTGACTCCACTCACGTGAACTGTGGGACGGGAGGACCCAGACAGACAGAAAGCAGATCTGTGCTGGTCCACACCTTGAGAGGCAAGGGAGTGGGCAGATCCAGGGATGATAGTTAAGGGGTGTGTGGTTTTGGTTTGGTTTGTTTTTTTTTTTAGGTAATGAAAATAATTTTCTTTTGCTGTACTGGGGCTTGAATTCAGGGCCTCACGCTTGACTAGGCAGACGCTCTACCCCTTGAGCCACTGTGCCAACCCTACAATGAGAATATTTTAAAGTTTAGTGCGGTCATTGTTGCACAACATTGTGACTATACTAAAAAGCACCAAATTGTACACTTAAAAGGACTGTTTATGTCATGTGAATTACATATCAATACTTTTCTAAATGTTAATAAAAACCCACCTCAGGGAGATAACATGTCCAAGTAAACATGTCAGTTATTACTGTTCTCTGTACTGTTGATAAGAGATTGGCGTGTGGCTGTCACCCTTTTTTTTCCTTTCCTTTCTTCCCTCTCACACCACTTTCTATGCCCAGTGAGCCATACACTTGTAAGATGGGGTGTGATCCTACCGTAGAACAACTTTGACTCCCTAATGCTGTGGCAGGCAGGGTCCTTAGCTGCAAACCCGAGGAAGAAGCCAGCTGATTCAGGCAGAAATGGAGTTTGCCAGAAGGATGGTTCAGAGCAGAGAACTGCCGAGCAGGTGGAAAGCTGAGGTGCCGAGAAAGCAGGGGAGTTTGGGGGAAACTGTCTTGAGTACTCACAGGACTGCAAACTTTGTTTTCTAGCCTAGATTCCAAAAGTTAGAACAACCAGTCTTTCATCTTTTAAACTGAAACGGCATCAGAGACAACTTTTAATATCTCCTGTTCTCCCTGGAAAAAAAGAGGCCATCAGACTATAGAAACAAAGGATAATGATTAGCATTCTGTTCTTACAGATTTAGCAAGGAAGATGCACTTCTAAGGCAGGTGTGGTAGGACATGCTTGTAATCCCAGCACTTGGGAGGCAGAGGCAGAAGGACTGCAAATTTGAGGCCAGCCTGGGCTATGTAGTAAGACCCTGTCTATCATTCATAATTAAAGAAGAAATAAAAATATTTTATGATAAACAAAAACTAATGCAATTCATGATCACTAAACCAGCACTGCAGAAGAAAATCAAAGGAATCCTACACACAGAAGAGGAACATAAATGCAATGGTGAAAATACGGGGAAAAATGAAATGTCATCAGATAAGTAGATAAGCAAGTGAGCAGAGGAGAATGAAATGCTACAAAAACAGCAAAATAGCAGAAATTACTACATACCTTTTAGTAATAACTGAAGATTAATGGTCTCCATTCTCCAATTAAAAGGACACAGACTAGAAGGCTGGATTAAAACACAAGACTACAGGAAAAACACGTCACTGACAAAGACAAAAACAGGCTTAAAGTGAAAGGATGGAAAAAGCTCTTCCAATCAAAACAGAGCCCAAAAGCAAGCAGGAGTAGGTGAACTTAACATCAGACAAAACAGACTTCAAAACAAAGTTAGAAGAGACAAAGGAAGGCCACATCACATTGGTAAAGGGAACTAACCATCAGAAGGATATAACTGTCAGAGACACTGCACCAGATGCCAGCACACCCAGTTTCATAAAGGAAACATTACTGGACATAATAAAAACTTAGACCCCAACACAGTAGTAATGAGTGATTTTATACCACACTCTCACCATCTAAACCATCCTCCCAAAAAGATCAAGAAAACTTCAGATTTAATCCACACTATAGATAAAGAAACTTTACCAACATCTACAGAATTTTCCACCCAGCAGCCACAGATTACACATTGTTCTCAGCAGCCCATGGAACTTTCTCCAAAATAGATTTTAGGACAAAAAGCAAATCGTAATAAATACAAGAAAACGTAGACAACTCCATGAATTTTACCAGATCAAAAAATAAAAATAGAAATCAGTAACGAGAATCAGGCTAATGGAGTGGCTTAAGTGGTACAGCACCTGCCTAGCAAGCGTGAGGTCCTTAGTTCAAATCCCACTACTGCCAAAACAAAAGAAACTACAGAAACAAAAGAAACTACAGAAAATATTCTAACAGAGAGTGAACTATTCACTTTTGAACAGCTAGCAGGTCACTGAAGAAATAGGGAAGAAATTTTTTAAATTCCTACAATCAAATGAAAATAAAAACCACCTTACCAGAACTTTTGGAACACAGAAAAGGCAGTGCTAAAATGAAAACTGACAGTGCTGCATGTCTACATAAACGAATAGAGAAATTTCAAGTTAATAACCTAATGATGCACCTCAACCTCATGGAAAAATAAGCCAAATCCAAAAACAGTAGACAGAAATAATAAATAATAAACACCAGGACAAATTAATGAACTGAAGACTACAAGAAAAAACAAAGAATCAATGAAACAAAATGCTGAATCTGAAAAGATACAAAAGACTAACCAAAAGAGGGAGAAGACCCAGGTAAATAAAATCTCAGATCAGAAAGGGGATCTCGCATTATGATCAGAGGATCAGTAGGGAATACTTTGAAAATCTAGATTCTTATAGACTAAAATCTAGAAGAAATGGATAAATTTCTAGATGCATATGATTGACCAGAATTGAACAAAGAGGATATAAACCACCTAAATAGACGTAGAACAAGCAGTAAAACTGGAGCAGTGACAGTTTTCAAACAAAGATGAGTCCAGGATCAGATGGATTCACTGCTGAATCCTACCAGACCCTTAAAGAGCACTGACACACTTCAAGCTACTCTGTAACATAGAAAGGGAAGAACACTAACAAATTCATGCTGTGAAGCCAGCATTAATTATCCTGATACCAAAACTAGATAAGAACACAACATAAAAAAAAATTATACGCCAACTTCCGTAAAGAGCATAGACTAAAAAATTCTCAGTAAGTCCTTGCAAACTAAATTTTAAAATGTATTAAGCCAGGTGCTAGTGACTCATGCTTGTAATCCTAGCTACTCAGGAGGTAGAGATCAGGAAGATGGCAGTTCGAATATAGCCCAGGCAAATAGTTTGTGAGACCCTGTCTCAAAAATACCTAACACAAAAGGGCTGGTGGAGTGGCTCAAGGTGTAGGCCCTTAGTTCAAGCCCTGGGACTGTAGGGGTGCGGAGGGGGGGGAAGCAAGTCATCTACATATAAAATCTTTTATTACAGGCAGTATTGGTCCACATACTACATACTTTCTGTCCACTGAGCATTAGCCTTCTCCCTTGCTCACTGGCTGCAGCCTTTGAAGACTATGAAGTCTGTAGGGGGACCATCTCATTCCGCTCAAGCCCTCAGTGGTCTCCTTCAGCAGCCACAGGGCCTGCCAAGGGCCCTGGGCTCAACAGCATCTGTGTGAATGCCCACAACCCAGGCCTTAGAGCTGACCATTTTCCTGCCTGCAAATCTCACTCCTTTGAATGCAACTCAGAAGAGCCTAAGGAGAGTTACTGTGTTGATCAACCCAAGAAACCCAGATTCAGAAAGGTGGAAAAGTGAAAAGATGCTTTCCTGCAACTCCAGTTTGCATTGTCACTCAGTGCTTAAATAAGAGTATTAAATAAGAGGGGATCAGGCAGTAAGAGTGCTACCTAGCAATGCAAACCCCAGTAATGTGGCAAAAAAAAAAAAAAACCTTGTGATTTTAGTATCCAGTTTCAACAATCTGTGAAGAAAGGACAACATCAAAAAAGAAGTCATCTATATATAAAATCTTTTATTACAGGCAATATTGGTCCATACACTACACGATACCAACAGTACAAGTTTAATCTCTCAGAATCATTTAAACAGCAAAAGACCAAGAAATAAAATTTGTGTCAATTGATTATTTTCAAAATATTCTCAATGCACGTTATCCTCAGGTCCCTTATTCTAGTGAAACATACAAATACAGAAAAATACCCCATTTAACATATACTAGTGTTAAATGGTTATTTGGCTTAAAATCTGAGTTAAGAAAATCCTTTTTAGCAACCTACATACAGATAAGTAGCAAACTTTATTATATTAAACAATTCATTCTGCTAGAACACGTAAAGAATTTCATCCATCATGTATCCTGTTCCTGGTCCAAGTGTCTATTCCCCTGTGGTCATGGTTCTTATCTGAAGGACCAACTCAAAGGATCGTCCTCCACATAACCTTATGCTCTGCTCCAACACACTTCATCCAAGAGTCTGTTCAACAGATGGCAACCGGGCAGCGGTCACTTTGCCATTTGGTGCCAATGGCTCGGTGAGAGCTTGGCCAGACTGTTAAAACGGCCCATTTTCTACCTACTGTGGTTGCTGCTGGGAGGAACAGTATCGCCATACAAGCAGGAAGCTTGGCCCCTCTGCTACGTGCCTCAGAACACTTGCAGGTTTTCTGGTCAATGCTCTGATTAGGTTACGTGAAAGCCAACATATTAGTTTAAATCTTTAAACAAAAAACTATATTTTCCAAAGTCATTATCATTTGGGGCGATTAAGTGGTCTTTGCGTGCTTTGTGGAGCTTCATCTTTAGGGCGTTCCTTCTTTCTTCCCATTCGTGGAGCTCAGCGTTGCCGTGTGCAAATTTACAGCTGTTTCCTTCTGTGCACGTGCCATTCATGTACCTGTGAGGGTGAGGCAGCCTGGTAAGCATCCACAAAGCACCTCTAGCATTGGTTTGCATACAACTTTTTACAATTACAAAAGTTAGGAATCTTTTTTTTTTTTTTGGTGCTGGGGATCAAACCCAGACCTCATGCCTGCTAAGCCCACACACACTCTACCAATGAACTACACCCAAGCCCAGCTAGAAGGCTTAAGCCTAGAAAATAAGTATTTTACAGATATGATGTCCAATAGCGCAATTAGCACTTGAAACTATTCACATGTATTCCAGGAGTGTTGACTGGAAAACAGTACTTGGGGCTTGGGGTATAGAGTGCTTCCCTAGGGTGGAGGGTAGGAGAGGAGGAAGAAAGATATTGACTGTTGGGAAAACAGACCCCAAAATCATTTTTGACAGTAGAAAGACATCAGACCAGGTATAATGGTGCATGTCTGTAATCCCAGCACTCAGGAGGAAGAGGCAGGAGGATGTTGAGCTCAAGGCCAGCCTTGGCTACATAATGAGTTCCAGGCCAGTGTGAGCTACAGAGTGAGACCCTTTCTCAGAAAAGAAAAAAGAAAAAAAGCTGGGATTATGACTCAAGGTAGAGTGCTTGCCTAACAAGATGAGGCCCTGAGTTCAAGCCTCAGTACCAAAAAAGAAAAAAAGTGGCATTAGGTAGAAAATGTCTTTAATGGTTTTAAGGATCCCATGGGTCTGAATTTGGAAACTAAATATAAACAGCGATTTAACCAGTGACTACTAACTCAGAATTATGCAGTGTTTCTGTTAGGCCAGCTATGTAGCTCAATTGGCCTCAAATTCATGATCTTCTTGACTCAGTGGCCCAAGGGATGGGATTACATGTATGCACCACCATGTGTGGCTTAGGTTTTCATTTTAGGATTTTTCTAAGAAACTAAAGGAGTGATTGACAGTGTTATGCCATCACGTCCTTTGAGCTGAGTCCTGGCTTTACCCTTAAGATGTAACAGTGGCCATCTCACAAATTTGAGCACCATCTATTTTGGGCAAAGGTGTGGGAAAGGGCTAGAGAATCATAGCTGAGATCCTAAAAATTATGAGGGTGAGTTCAAATGAATACACTGCTCTATTCAATTACCTGGAGACAGTTCAAGCAGATGTCCGAAGACCACTGATAAAGAACCAGACAGTGAGCAACTGAAACCCTCAGGCAGTACCACGGATCCTCCAGAGCCTAGCACCATCACAGGACTACCACTCAAGTGTGCTGTTTATGGACATGACATCCACAAGTTGCGTGGGATGCACAGCTTTCGTGGGGAAGTGTGGAAGCCTACGTACCTCTCACAAATACTGAAGCAGCCCGTTGGGAAGCGGTGCTGCCAGCAGTACTGGTCGTCCTCGGTGTGGAAAACCTTCTCCTTGTGTTTCTCGGAGGAGATGTGGCCCTGCCACTGCTTCTCACTGTTACAGTTCTTCCCACACATCCAGCAGTGGAAGTCCACCTAGCATGTGGCAAAGACATGTGGCCTGTCAGCCGTGTTACCTGAGTATCAGGCCAGCCTAGATCAATCCTGAGACCCAGACTGTTTTCCAGGAGCTGGGCAAGGACACAAAGCTCCAAGTCTGAGTGGAATCATGCAGGATGCAAGCCAGCTCACAGGAGGCAGAGGAAGGGCGAGTCTGGCAAGCGTCCAGAGTCTCCCACAAGGAGGCCAGAGGAGCTGGTGTGCAAGCCAGGGTGTTTTCTCAGGAGGACTCCAGGCAGTTCAAGTTAGGGTTGCGGGCAGAATTAACACCCCAAAGAAAAGCAGGGAGGCTGTGAGAAGCCAGGGCATGCCGACTCTGGAAGGACAAACGGCACCTTTATTTGATGCATAGGAAGTAAGTCTCATTACAGGCTAGGCTTGTGCCATGCACCAGGGAGGTAGAGATGGTGGCCTGCAGGGGACAGACCTCACAGGAGGCACCATCGTGGTGGCATTTAAGTGGTACAACAGATGCAGACTCTTTAAGTGTTTGCAGAGTGCTCCCAAGTGAGCTGGGCAGAGAGAGACGCTAGACCAGGCCATCTGTGAGCCCTGCAGTGGTGATGGATCTAGGCCTGAACCAGCGTGGAGAGTGGCCACCCCACAACAATAAACAAGCTTACGTAAAGTTTAAAACATACCAGGCTGGAAGGACTGTAGATTAAGAACAAATCCATCAGCGGTATATAAACACCGCCTGGAAAAATACACAAAGAATCTGGTTCCTCTGGAAAGGGGAACTCATGGACTTTCAACGTCCTCTCAATCTCTTACTTTACAGAAGCAACAGAGGAGTTAACATTGGTTAATGTGGCATGGTGGGAGCACACCATTCATTCCTCTGGCCTCTTTGTTTCTTTTGAAATTAAGGCAAGGAGTTTTAGCATGGGGGACTTAAGCGAATGGCTGGAAACCACCGAAGGAAGCTGGCAGGAGAGGGGCAGGCAGCGGGTGCGAAAGCCAGGTTTTGGAGAAGGTGGGAAGGCAAGTCTCCCTGGCAGCTCCACGGCAAAGGCCCATGGTACTCACGGTGACCTCAGCATAATCTGTTGGCATGTGGATTTGCTTCCCATTTTCCTTGTTTGGCTGACTGGCTACATCGTCACTTTTTTCAGTTTTTTGACTCTTTAGCCAGAGTTCATAAAATTGCTCCATATCTTGTACTAAAGAAAAATGAATCACTTTTCAGCAGCAGCAATGACACAGCATCTCAACCCATGCACAAGCATGCACTTTTGTATGGCAGCGTACATTTTCAAAACAATGCAGGAGGATGCAGAGATGGGTCACATTAGACACGGAGGTGACTGTCCAGGCTAAGCAGCAGATAAACCGCGTAGGCACCCATTTCTGGACTGTTAGACAGCACATGTTAGTTTCCCATATGAAGTAACTCCTCCCTGCACGTGCAAGACACTTCAGAGGTGTTTAAAACTCAGGAACAATCGGAAAGCTGTTGCCGAGAAAGCCTCGGCACTACCTGGTGCCACCTGACATTCCACACGCTGTCACTGCCACGCCATACAAAGCCACTTACTCAGCTTGAGGGGCTTGGAGCTGATATGCTCCCACCTGCCCCCAGCTCATTGAGACAGAAACTACTATTGAGCCAGGACTCTAGCCCCACCGGGAGCCCATCCATCTAGCCACTGCCCAAGAGGACAAACATGCTGGGTACAAACAGTACCACTAAGGCCAGGTCCTGGCAGTGGCTGCCAGCTGCACCTATGGAAAGAAGAGGTGTGTCTGCGTTACTGCCAACCTCAGCTCTGCTGCCTGTAGGCCTTGTGGTTCCTTGCTGCTGCCAGCTGTCCTGTGCACTGCAGCACACTTAGCAACACCCCTGGACTCTGCCCATGAGAAGCCAGGGGCACATTCCTCCAAGTCATGACCATGAAAATGTCTCCAGACAGTGCCAGGTGTTTCTGGGGGAGCAAGGCTGTATGGTAAAACTTGTCCCCAGTTGAGAATCACTGTGTTTAAAACTCTGCTAAGGAGAATCTGGTCAAACTTGGCCTTGCTGTCTGCCTGAGGGTTTCTAATACTCCCACCAGGCTGAGGTCAGAGGTAACTAGAGCTTCTTCTTCCTTAAAAGTAGAGGCAGCAAGAGTCGTGGCAAGAGCACTCATAAGCAAGGAGGTCCTCAGTGAGCTGACTGAGTGTCCCTATGCCACTTAGAATGGCTAGAGGGAGTCCCACCACGCAAACCAATGACAGGTGACAGTCTTAACTCCAGCTGATTCTTTGTAATCCAGAGATTGCAGTCAATAAATTTCCATTAGTTTATTTAAGATTAAAGAACAATGATCCTTGCAGTAAAACATTTTATGGTCAAAAGTGAAAGCTTGTCTGAGGCTCCTCACAAAGACTCCACAATAGACTTGAGACTTGACCAAGACAAATGCTTGGTTCTTGGGCTGCTGAGTCTGGCCTTGGAGGGTTGGGGGTGTGTTTATTTGGCTTGGTTTGGTTTCCGAGACAGTCTTGCCATTCAGCCCAGGCCAGCCTCAACCCATGATCCTCCTACCTCAGCCTCCCAAGTGCTGGGGTTATGCATGTGTCACCACACCTGGCTGGAATGTGGTCTAGTCTACCAGTAAAGATTCCCGAAGAACCCTCCTGTCTACCTGGTTGATCACAATAGAGCACAGCATCTGGTTTAAAGTCACAGAAGAACTAAACTTCCTCACACCATTTTCAGGATGCAGATCTGTGTACTCATACCCAATTCTGACCTAATTGAACACACGTCAGATGTCAGACTCCACTCACTGAAGCTGTGGATGCATTCTCCAGCTATGCCCCCAGAGAGCTAGTGATGAGACAGGTACACACTGCTTTCTGTGCTCGCAGGAAGCTGGTGTGTTTCCAGAGAAGAAAGGAACTTGCAGGCGAACTAGACATCACATATGTCAAGGACACAGTGAAACATGAACTTACTCCCGTTCTCCTTCATGTAAGTCCACACTTCCCGTTCCTCAGGACTATGAGCAAAGGAACAGTTCCCAACATATTGACATTTTTTCCCAGAAGCAACATGGTTGCACAGCTGTGTAAAAAACAAAATATATATATAACATGCTTTAAGATAGAGCACACTTAGTAAACTGACTTTTACAGTTAAGCAAAATAAGGCTTATTACTGGTGCTAATGCTTAGCAATAAAAGTTTTAAATAAGATTAACTTACTGTATTTAAATTGACAGTAAGCCCCAAACATTTGAGATGACATTGCTAGTGAACATTCCTATCTCAAAAGTTTTTCAGAAGAAAGTCAAGTACAGGCCTAGAGTGCAGCGCTTTTTCTTATAAGAAATGCTGACAAGCTCACAGCTCAGGACCCTGCACCTCTGCCGTGAGCACCACTATCCCCCCCATCTCTCGGCTCCTGCTCTCCCTAGGTCTATGGTACCTCCAAGCCAGCACCTGGAGAGCAGCAAACACTGCAGGCCACTCCAGGTGGCTAGACAGTGCTGGGGAGGCTTCAGGAACTTAACTTGCTGATGACCAAAGCCGAGAGATCACCTCAATCACAGTCCACTAGACATGCATAGCCCACGACAATTACTACACTAACCAGGCCATGGAGTCACAGAGCTCTTAAGTAATATCTCTTCCAGTTATGTGCATTTTTATTTAACAAAGGAAATGTGGTGACAATGGTAGGAAAATGAAGTGACGGTGAATGGCAAAACATGGATGTCCCTAAGAATCATGACTGTCCAGAGCCAAGAAGTCATCCAGCACCACGCAAGCTCATTCCTAAGTATCAAATGACTACTTGTCTTGAGAGAGCACAAACCCCAGTGCGACTATTAGCTTGTCATAGCTTGCGCCCCAGTGGGAGCTGGCCACACACCACTTAGCTTACATAACATTAACGGTTTAGCATCTCTGTTTTCAGAACAGTCAAGGCTGTTGAGGGCAGACTCTGAAAGTCAGTCAACACTGCCCATTTCTCCCTGGGATGAACATCAGTGACCCCATGCTGAAAATGTTTGCATGAAACCAGCACCAATAAGTAATTCTTGCTACTGACTATATCACACTTTTTCCCAGTCAAATCCCAGTGGGTACTTATTAGTGCTACTACAGAAGCATTGCCTGTCATCTTTCATAGCTCAAGGACAAGGAGCAGGGATAAGTAGAAAGAAGGCCAGGCCTTGGGGATGGGTTCACATTCAGTCCCCAGTCAGGCACTGCCACCGTGCTGGGTTCTACAGGGTACCACGTCAGATAACCCCCCTATGACACAATGTAAGGATGCCCATTTACAGATGGGAAAACAGTGCTACCAACTCAACAGGGACCTCCTGGCAGACTCCCAGTCCATCCTCTTTCTACCTCCCCACACATTGTGCACATGAACACAGTATTACTTCTTCTTTTAGGAAAGGGCCCCCAGCAACATCTACTATGGGCGGGGAGAGAAAAAAGGAGGTAAGCTCTTGAAATGCTACAGTGGAATCCACCCTGACTAACCTGAAAAAAAAATCACCATCGTGGCAGCTGCCTCGTGAACTAGAATGGATCTCAGCTGTCCTGATTTTAATCAAGTCCCCGATACACCTACTATCTGCACTATCTGTTAAAGCCTAGATGTTGTGGTTCCAACAAACCTCTTCCTCTTCTTAGAAAACCACTAATTAAGTCTAAGTGCTCTGGAAAAAACACAAGCACACCACTACCTTGCAAAGACTAGCCTTGTGACTTATATTAAGCTTTGCAAAGCTGCAAGGCACACTAGTGATAAAAGAGTCATCACCATCTTCTTCAACTGCCACTGGCCATTCAGAGGACGTCTCGTTTACAAGGGGCTCTGCACCTATCGCCCTGCTTCTCTGGGCAAAGGGCTCTTTCCATCTTTCCTCCATTGGGCACAAAGTTTGCTCCCTGTCAGTGCTCCCCCTGTCCCTTCTGTCCATGAGGTCACAAAGTAAAATACCTCTGGACTCTCCCCAGACCCTCTCTCTTGTGAAGAGCAAAGTCCAAAGCCAAGTCAAGTGGTCTGCTTGGACGCTCATCGCCATGGCATTTAAGGCCCTACCCAGGTGCATCCTGCCTCTGTGAGTGAAGTGACGCCCTGACTAAGTTGGGCTGCTTGCCACCTAAGGGCTCAGAGGGATGTAATCCTCTAGCACTAAACATTTTCTTCTGGGCTACTTCTAGGAAGGCCTTTGACACGGGTGTTTTTTAGCTTGCTTCAGTGAAACCGACAAGATACGATTACAAAACCTCATCCACAGCACTCATAATTCAAAAGGCCTGGAGTTTGATAGCAAACCTGAGGAATCAAAATTAAATTTTACCAATCCCTCCCCAAAGAAATTCCTTTGAAAAATAAATTACACCCTTAACTTTCTCTCAATTCTAGTATCTACCTACTCTTCTGACCAAGTAACTCACAGAATTCCAATCAATCTGAAAACTGTTACAAAATCACAAACACACTAAAAGGAAGGAAAACAAGAGAAGAACCATTTACACTTCACCATTACTGATTAGCATTATTTAAAGGGATTGAATTTCAATCTCAGTTACACTACTTTCTAATGATTTGAAATGCCTAATTTAAAAAAAAAGTGGCTTAAAAATTACGTATGTACATCAAACTGTAAAGGCATTTGTTTCTTTGTGGGGAGAGGACGGATGTTCATCCACTTCTTACGTTCAAAAGACATCACTCTCATCGCACGACGATCTTTGGTCCACCTAAGAAAGATGGAGTTCAGAAAAAAACAGACACACAGGCAAAAGGCACAACATAAAGGGAGGTACGAAGCCTGTACGTGAGGGCCAGAGATTTCTCTTTCTCAACACTTCTAAAAGAAAAGCCTATGATTCTATTATCTTATTTCCCGTTGATAGTATAAGCATTCCCTAAGAATCATAAACAAATTGGTAAAACAGGAAAAACACTACTTTTAAATTCTTAGCTGCTAAACCTCTGCCCTTTGTTTTGTCATTACACCTGACATAGTTACTTTTCTCTCTTGTTTAAAGCCTTAACCTTTTTTCTACCATGTATGATTTTACACCTATGAGACAGGCAACTGCAAGGGGGCGTTGTGTCTGGCGCACGATACTTACGAATGCCTTGCTTTTGCACTACAATATTTTCTGTTTTTGTCTGGTTCAATGACTTGACCATTTCTCAGACACTGAGCACACACAAATTTTATCTTCATATTAAGAGATCCAGGCATTATTTGATTGCCAAGTACCTTAAACAATTAAAGATCAATTTTAATAGGAAACCAGTTGGGGGGAGAACAATGGATAGACAAGTTGTACTGCATGGGAAACAAAGTTACAAATGTAATCCATCTCCTTATTCCAAGATCCCCAAGGCCCCAGACCCCAACTATTTTGCCAAGTAAGCTACATTGTTAACAGATAGTGTAGGTGTCTAATGTTTTTTAATGATAATCAACCAAAATGCAAACCTTTTTTTCCCCACATAAGAATTACTCAACTTGCCGGGTGCCAATGGCTCACACCTATAATACTAGCTACTTGGGAGAATCAAGGTTTGAGGCCAGCACAGGCAAATAATTCACGAGATCCCCATCTCCAAAATAACCAGAGCAAAATGGATCAGAAGCATTGCTCAAGAGGTGGAGCACCTGCTTTGTAACCATGAAGTCCTGAGTTCAAACCCCATTTCCACCCTCCACAAAAAAAGTAAATAAATAAAAAAGAATTATTCAACTGATTACTAGACTGAATAAACACTAAATAACTGAGCTTTAAGTGTAAGCTGCACCCATCAACAGCCAACACCCATCAGACAACTGCAGAGACCCCAAATGCAGAAAGAGCACAAGAGACAATACCTGAGCTCCAGGTAGGGTTGCTTCCACATCTCGCCAATACTGTTTAGATTCCTGAGCGATCGCATCGTGTGAGATCCCTGGGAAGGGAACAACCCTTCCTTTAAAATCCACACCTAACAACAGCCCGCCAGTTGGCCTCAGTCAGACCTAGAGACCCTCAACTCCCAGTTAGCCTTGATCTCCACCATAATGAATCGACATCATATCCCTCTTTTCAAAATAGAATATTTATAGATTCTCTTGTCTCCTGAGCAATAACCCCGAAATCCATGCTACAGTATGAACAATTAATTACATGAAACCACACTCAACACAGGCAACTGTGAAAGTGAAAAGCTTTAAAGCTTAAGACACACCCCACAGAGCGCATGAGTCAGATGAGAAGTGGGGGGTGTCTCCATCATACCCGTCGGTGCTTGCAGCTCGAGGTTCTCAGGCCCATGGAGACCCACCTGTTTCATTTTGCATGATCCAGACTTTCAGTTCCACAAGACTGTGAGCATAAAAGCACTCATCTTCCCGTAAGCAGCCATATCGCACCTCGTGTCGACACAAATCAAGCTGACACTGACTACGAAAAGAACGTATTTTGGAGTATTTTACTGTTGTCTCTCGCAAAATGTGGACAAGGCACCTGAGATGAAACAGAGTGACATTTTGATATTGTTTGGGCATAGTTTTGAAAAAAGTATGTACACAAAATGTCACATTCTACACTGAGGACCCATTTTAAACATCTATCAGAAAAATAAATTACTATATGTGATTGGTAGACTAAGGTGGAGGGATGATTAAATTTTAAGATTAAAAAAAAACCCTGAATGCATGCCATAAAAAGCTACAAACCTGTATTAAACAATCAATTTAATAATGTATTACTTAATTCCCAGTCAAATCTAAAAGACATTTTAAAATAGTCACTGTTCTTCAAAACACCAACAGAAGGGCAGAGGGCACACCTGGGCAGATCCACTGCTCGTTGTTTTGTTTTTTGGTGGGATTGGGGTTTGAACTCAGGGCTTCGCACTTGCAAAGCAGGCACCCTACCCATGTAGAGTTCCATGCCTCCAGTTCATTTTGCTCTGGTTATTTTGGAGATTGGGTCTTGTGAACTGTTTGCCTGAGCTGGTCTTGGACCTCAGTCCTCCCAGTCTCAGCCCTAAGGAGCTAGGATCACAGGCCGTGAGCCACCAGCACCCAGCCGCTAATGGTTTTATTTGGATCTAAGAAAGGAATGTATTTTGCTACTACAAAAAGTTCGGAAGCACCAACATACTTATTGTCTTCAAATTCATGCTTTGTAACCGGGTGAGAACAAGCAGCAGAATTATCTTTATTTCTTTTACTTATCATTCTAGGTTTATGATCAAAACATTTCTGGAATAGAGAGAGAAAAGGATTATCAGACAAATACAAACTCTGAATTTTGTGCCAAGGATATTCCTTAGTGTCAGTATCTTTACAAACATGCATTTTATGCTTGTACCAATTAATATTGAACGTGAAGTCTTCCCATCATCCTTTGTGATGACAGGAATAGCTGTTGTTTACTGAGTGAGCACTTCTCATGGGCCAGGATCTGCCAGTCAGCAAGGACCACCTTTGATTCTGTTTTGTCTCTGACATGGTGCTGGGAAGGGATCCCAAGGCCTGTGCATGTTGGGCAAGTGCTCTACCTCTGAGCTGCACCCCCCTGGGCACTACCACCAGTATTATAGCAAAAAAAAGGCCTGGAGAAAGCACCTCACAGAGGAATATAAACTCTCCAAGGTGTTCTTGGAGAAGTCTGAACACGGTAAGGTGGATTTTCCCGTTGCCACCAAAGAAAGCCTCGCGACTGAATGCCCCTTTTCTTTCCAGGGTCCACACATCTATTTCTTCTTGGCAGTAAGCAAACGTGCAGTGGCCCGAATATCTGCACTCCTCTTCTGCAGCCACATCTGGAAAGGCAGGGAGGAAAAGAGGGTGAATGATGCGACTGTCTTCCAAAGCAAGCACTATTAATGGCACTTATGGCATCATTTGAATTTTTACAAGAACCCAAAGCCAGCTTCAGGCCATGATCCAGTACCATGACTCTGGGTGGTTTAGTCTTCAAGACTAAACGGCTTTTACCGCAGACAGCAGAAAATGCTTTGATACACTCTGGTATTCCATGTGAGGTCAAAAATCATTTTAGGGCCACCCAAAGCTCATTCAGATGAGGTGGTGGGACAAAAATGACAACATCACATTCTCTCCAAAGCATATCAAACACACAATAGTCTCCAAGCCCAAGGTTCTGATTCTGTGTAGACGAAACTTAAAGTCGCAGAGTTTTCTGTTTAAAACCTGGTCAGAGCCCTGCTTCCCTAAACAACTACAAAATATACACAAGCTATTAAAAACCAACACCAAAAATAACAGAGAAAAGACTAACTTCTCAATCCAAGGAACTTGCTAGTAACTCCATAAACATTTGTAGTAACAGTCAATACTAGACTCCTCAGAATAAATGCAGCAAGCACTCTTACTTTTGTAGTGTAGACCAACTGAGTAATTATGGTATGTACCTTTACAGATGTAATATGGTCCTTCATAATTTGTTTTTGTTGGTCTTGGACGTATTTTTTTCCATGATTTATCTTCAACATTCTTTATCCTACCAATTAATATGTCTTTCTTACATTTATGATCTACATTAGCATGGTAAGTGAAATCCATTAATTTAGGGCCTGAAAAAGAGGTAAAGAGGACTGCTCAGGTGCACAGTTTACAGGATAAACACTGACTGCCATTACCCCAAACGCTCAGCAAAATGTGGTCAGGCTGCTGAAGCACAGCTCTGCCTCGTGTGCTGTTTGCCGGACCACACAAGGTTCTATTCCAAAACAGACCCTTCTTTAACTACTAGAGAAATAATGTGGATAAGAATGGTTTTCCTTTTTGGCAGTACTGGGTTTGAAAACTCAGGGCCTCACACTTGTTACACAGGTGTTCTACCAGCCCCGATAGGAATTCTGACTAATACAAGTGAAGGACGGTGGAAGAGCCAATTATGCAAAACTAAAGAAGGGAGGGAAAGAAAGAGAATTGAGTCCAGAACAGAACTGCTTATGTTGCTTAATTTGAAGCTAATCCAGAACTAACCACTTCATCACACACTGGTCTTACAATGCTTTTTTTCTAGGTCTTGCTCTAATTCTTAAGCATATAATACTTTGAACATGAGGAATTTCATAAAGTTTCAGTAAGTTTTCAAAATCAAGTAAACAATCAATTCCACATCATTCTAGAAATAACATTATAGCAAGTAAGAGCAGCGACTTATCCTTGGACTCCAAAAAAGTGCTGCTTCTATGTCAGAATTCCAAGAGGGGACTGAAAAGCCACCACAGTGGCAGTGTTCACATGTAGTCACAAGCTCTGAACTAGTTGAACCCTCTGCAAGGGCTTGTTTGTTCCAACCTGATTTCACGAAGCAGATCTGGCAAGCTTGTCTCAATTCATGGGTTCCTTCCAGGGGGTGCCTCGGAGTCACTGAGGAAGACGGCTTAGTAATTGAACTTCCAAAGAAATTTCCAAAATCATTTCTAGGTTGACTTGAAATTCCCAAGAAACTCTCAGAAGCAAACAAACTTCCTGGTCCATTCATCTGCAAGAAGAATAAGAAAAACAAACAAAACAAACAAACAAACAAACCCAGGCAGCAAATATTGTACCATCTCTAGAGAAGGTAACAAATTCACCTGGAGAGTAAATGAGACCAGGACTACCTCTCCTTAGCTCCTTTCCCCTGCAAACTGTCTTTCTGAACTGCCTTTCTTCTGGTCTCTAGCCCCACCCCCCCTTTGATCCTGTGGGCGGCTAAAAGGAGCGCTGAACTGGTCTGCCTCAGTGCACTCATCTCACATGCCCTGGTCATAGCTCCTCCTTCGTTCCCGCTCTGCCCGAGCCGCTCACACCGTCTGCAATGGTGATGAATTTGCTATGGCAGATCCAGTTTTAAAAGCACAGCATCTAGTCCAGGACGCTCAGGTGGGCCTGACCATATTGCTCTCCACGGCGCACAGAAACCAAGGGAGACTGTCATGGTCACTCTCATAACTCTGTTACTTAACTACAAGGCCTAGGTTCAATATAAGCGACGTAGTTACAAAAGAGGAAGTGGCACTTACAAGCAAAAGGGAAGAATTACTGTTGTTAAGCGTTGTTCCCTCTCTAGAAGTTGAGGTGGACAGATCTAAAATAATAAAAAAACTTCAACAGACCTTTTCACTCTAATCATGTGACAAGAGTGTCAGGGCTTAGCAGCTGACTGGAGACGGCGCCCCACCTCCTCTCCCCATCCCAACTCCTTCCTAGAAGCTTTCTTACTCATTTTTGACAAAGTGGGGTTCTGGGGTTTTTTCCTTCCTTCTAGAAGCTAAGGGTGTAAATAAGCCTTAGCTAACCAAATTTAAACAAAAAGCTATTTTCAGAGAAATAATCTAAGGCAGAGCCTACCAAGTGGGAATGTTAAAAATCTAAGAAAATTATTGAAATTTAAAATGGATGAAGAGCCTGCCTTTGAAGTTATGAAGCAGGAACTCAGCGCAATGTTAACACCAGGCAGTTTCTTTCTGTGTGTTCTCCTTAGTCGACCAACGACTACCTCCTCCCTGCTGTTCTATCTCCCACAGATTTCAATCTCTTCAACTCTAAATCTTTAAATCGGTCTCGATTTTTGCCCTTTTAATCACATAACAGTCTCAGAAAACGTGAACACTTTTATCATTATTAATTATAGTATCTATTAAGGGCTGTGAAAGTAAGCTGAGGGGTAGGGCGCATGCCTAAGGCTCTGCCTGGGTTCAATCCCAGCACCACACACACGTACAGAACAATAAATAAATCAATGCCTGAACATATATTAAACCAGGATTACAGAGGCAGGGGTCAGCATTCCCGTGAACTGGAGGACATCAGGCACGGTTTTTCTGAGCTCAACCCATGAAGGCTAAATAGGCCCAATAGTTTTCATTTTAAATTAGTATTTTTCCAGTTCAAAACTTAAAATCACAGCTGTCACTCAGGCAGCCCATTACCGAAGAACGCATTAACAGTCACCTCACCCGTTCTTCCCCAGTGCCACACACAGGCTACCCCCATGCCTTCAATCCCTATCAGAATGGCACAGTAAGTCAAACTGAATCAAAATGCAAGACTCAGTCTTTACATTTCAGCTACAATGAAAACAATTCAAGTACCTACTAACTAGAGAGAAGTAACTACCAGACACACATATTCGTTTTTAGAAACTGCAATTGTTTACAATTTAGGCTAGATTCTTACCTCGTTTGGATTCGGTCAATGAAAACGAATTTAAAGAAGAACAAAAATCTTCTAAGGATGAGGTCAAAGGCGGATACAGCTCGGCAAAGGAGGGCGGAGGGGCATACCTCGCACCAATGGGCAAGGTTCCGAGCAGAGATGCCGAGAAGGGCAAGCTAGGAGTGACGCTGGCTGGCGGGAGGGGTCCTCTGACCAGAGCTGAAGGCTGGAGAACAAGAGAGGCTGCAGCAAAGTTCACGCATTGTCACAGTTTAGCTGAACTCCCTTCACTACCAGCATGTGAGAGCACATCCCTACGCTGATCATGCTGTGTGACAACGCTGAAATCAAGGTCAAGACCCATTAGAAGAACTGCAGCTAACCATGGAGCTTTCTGCTTTTCAAGACCCGTTCTTAAGAAGAACTGAGACAACATGCAACAATACATTAATCCACATGTCACATTTGTGTTTCATCTAAAAGTTCTTTAGGAGCCCCACCCACCCTCCTGGCTTATAAAAACTTGCTATATTAAGGAGGAATTGGGGGGGAGGGGAGGGGAGGAGGGGAGGGGGAGGGGGGAGAAATGGCCCAAACAACGTATGCACATATGAATAAACAAATTAAAAAAAAAAGGAATTGTGAAAGCTGGGAGCCAGTGGCTCACGCCCATAATTCTAGCTACTCAGAAGGCAGAGACAATCGCAGTTTGAAACCAGCCCAGTTAATTAGTTCACGGGACTCTAACTCGAAAAAAACCATCACAAAAAAAGGGGGCTGGCTAAAGGTGTAGGCCCTGAGTTCAAACCCCAGTACCTCAAAAAAAAAAAAAAGAGGCTGGGGGTGGGAAAAGTCTAGAGCATGGGACCTCTTTCTGGAGGTGTGAATTCACAACTTCCCAAGAACAACAGAGCTGTAACTTTCCCCTCGGGATTCAGAGGTGTGACATGGGCGCTTCCACACACTATGGAAGCATCCTAACTACCTGCTGGACATTCACAACCGTCTTGATATGTCCCACTGTGACTGCCATTGCACAGAGGACCCTGGGTCCTAAGAGGTAAAGTATCTAGCCCAAGATCCTGGAGCTGGTAGGAACCAAAGCTAGATGTGTTGACCTATTATAGACTATGATGGAGTCTTCCCCGTCAGCTCCAGTTGGACACTGCCTATTTCACAAGCTCTAGAAACCAGCTTAGAAATTCTCCCTATCCTCATCATCCCACTACTGCTGCGATCTGAATACACTGTGCTGGCATCAGGTCTCACCCCTGTAATCCTAGCTACTCAGGAGGCAGAGATCAGGAGAATCACAGTTCATGAGATCCCATCTCGAAAAAACCCATCACAAAAAAGGGCTGGTGGAGTGGCTAAAGAATAGACCATCTGCCTAGCAAGTGCCAGACTCTGAGTTCAAACCCCAGTACTACCAAAAAAAAAAAAAAAAAAAAAAAAACACCTTATGGCAGAGGTCAGAAGACATTTTATATGAAGGGCTAGGTATTAACTATTTCAGCTCTACAGCCACATGGTCCCTGTCGCAAGCAACATAGCCAGCATGTAGAAAGGATGGTGTGACTGTATTCCAGTGAACTTTCATGGACACTGAGATTTGAGGCTCATATCATTTTCACATTTCACAAAGCATTCCTCTTTGAAACTATTGTAAGAATGGGGGAGGGGGATAAAGGAGAACAATGGATGGGTGGAGTTAACTAAGATAGATTGTGTGCACTTTTGTAAATGTCACAATGTACCCCCAGTACAACAATGATATGATACAAAAATAGTCTTCTGGTTCTTCTCTCAACTATTTAAAAATGTTTAAGAAAGTCCTCAGTTTTCGGGACACAAAAGCAGGTGGCAGGCCTGATGTGGCCCTGGCAACAGTTTGCAGGCCTCTGTTTTACCTGATTGACAGAGAATGTCCTTGAGCAAGGGCAAGTTTCTTATCCATAAAACCCTTTTCCTTAAAAGTCAAATGTCTACTCTCTTTTCTGAGGCAGGGTCTTGCTATGTGGCCCAATCCTCAAACTCTTGATCCTCCTGCCTCCTAAGAACTGGGATTACAGGCATGTACCACCACATCTGGCTGAAATACCTATTCTTTATTAGACTGTTACATTTACCCTTTCTGACCAAGAAAAAGTGACTAATTACTAGATAGCACATTCCTTTCTTTTCTTATCTTAAAAATGACCAGACTGTCCAGTTGCCACCAGAGCAGGACAAAAGTAATTTTCAAGGTAAAAAAATCCAAGATCAGCCTAGACTACCACAAAAGGATCTAGCAGGTTCTATCACAAGTTAAAGAGAAGGGGATCCAGACACTGACACTCACCATAACAGCGTCCCCACTCTCAGGGGCAGAATCCAGGAGGTCATCTATCTCATCTCCGAGCACCATATCCCCATCGTCCAGGAAAGCCTCTGTCATAGGTAAGGGGATCTTCCCTCCATTCGCCAACACTGCCAATGGCAGAGCGCTCTCCTCCACTTGCAGTGGCAAAACAGAAGTTAAGGGCATGATGGGAACGGACGAGGGGAGGGAGCCAATGGGAAGTGCTTCGTGCCTTGGGGTTGACAGATCTGTAACACAGGTGGAAGCATGTCACCCCTGCTGGGCCCTGACATGATGTCAGTGTTAACAGCATTACAGAGACACAAGGAGCAGGTGCAATTGTGAAGCAATCACGTCCCCATGCTAGTCACCACACATGGTATTTCTTGACAATACTGCGTACTACAGTCTACAACTGGCACTTCACAGAGTGTGAGGATGACAGAGAAACATACCCGGCTCAATGTCTTCCACGGAAGAGTTCACAGCCTAGAAGGTAAACCAGCAGTGAGTCATGTTTTCAGCAACCAAACCACAAAGCAATTTTAAAACTCATCTTGAGAGTCTGCATACTAGCACAGAAACCTGACTCCTTCCAACTACGAACTGAGAGATGAAAGGAATACTGAAGCTTTTACCACACATGCTAGACTAACAGCAGAGCACTTATTTCTTCTCTTTTTCCTTTTTTTTTTTTTTTTTGGTGATATTGGGGTTTGAACTCAGGGCCTCACTCTTGCTAGGTAAGGGCTCTACCACTTGAGCCACTCCACCAGCCCTTTTTGGTGATGGGTTTTTTCCAAGACAGGGTCCCAGGAACTATTTGCCCAGGCTGGCTTCAAACCATCATCCTCCTGATCCCCGCCTCCCCAGTAGCTAGGATTACAGGTGTGAACCACCAGTGCCCAGCTCTCTTTAGTAAGCACAAGGCCCTGAGTGCAAACCCCAGTGCTACCACATAAATAACTAACTCTTCTTCCTTCTTTTTCTTTGAGGAGGAATGTAACTATACTGCCAAGGCTGTTCTCAAACTCCTGGGCTCAAGCAATCCTGCTCAGCCTCAAGTAGCCTTGAGTACCACCACTTCCTTCTAGTGGACCAGCACTGCTCAGAGGCTGTTCAGCAGGACACCAGGGACTAATCCAGCCACCGCTCCCTCAACCCCTCACAATGGCCGTGGCACCCTAGGAGCCCCAAGAAGACTTGCCTTAGATTTAAAAAAGTAAATTTATAATCTTTTTAATTTCTTAATGTTTTTTATCCAAATGTCTCCAAAAATAGTATTTGGCCCTAAACCACATTTTTCAAATAAAACCTAGCATCTGTTCTCCTCCTGTAAAACACTCCACTGGAATTCAGGAACTGCTGGTTAAGACTAAAATGTATTGCTTGAGTTCTTTGTTTTCTTTTTTGAAGAGTCAGGAAACTATGGCCAATTACATGTTTGAGAAACCAAAGAGGCGCACACTGAAAGTACTAAAAGCAGAACTGCCAAGGCTTCTATCCTTCCTTTCCTTGTAAGCATGATTCTTACAGAAATAACACCTTTACCTTAGTAGCCCCGTCCCCAGGAACTGGTTTCAATGAGAGCTGAAATAAAATAAAGACAGCAATATAAAAACAGAACTGAAGAGAAAAAGAAAAATAAATAAAATAAAAAATCCAGAACTGACTCCAAGTTCTGAAACAAAACAGAACCTGAGGAGGGTATACCATCTTACCTCAGCTCTAACATAAGCTTTCCTGATTTTAAATCCCAATTTCTGAGCTAGCTCTTGAGTTAGTTTTATTACATGTTCATCCTGAAAAAGCCAACAAGTGTAATCAGTGGAGCTCACACTGCTAACCGCGCAGGACATTGAGAACAGGCAGGACACTTGCTGGGAGTATCAACCCCAAAGGAAGCAGGCTGCAGGCTGTGTGCAAATGTGACCCTTTCGAAGCCACTCCACACAGGAGCAGTCAACCACCGTCTGCCATGGGACAGAGGGACTGAAATACAAATCCCATACCTGAGGCACGGCTAAGGAACATTTGGCTACAGCATCATAAGCCTCTTTGTATCTTCCTAGGTCACTTAAGGCCTTAGATTTCCGGTACAGAGCCTTGCAGTTACTGGCGTTTAAGCTGAGCACAGCATTGCAGTCTTCTACAACTTTATCGTGGAAACCCTGGTGTGCAAGGCCAGAGGAGAAAGTCAAAACCATACCATTTACCTCTCCCCATGCCTTCCAAATGTGAAAACAAATTCAAAACACATCATATTACCCTCCCCTAAATCAAAGTTGGTGGTGTAACTTTTCTTTTAGAATTATCCTTGGCAAAGATTTCAAATGCATGAAACAGAAATAACACCATGAATACCTAAGTAATCGCCACTCAGATAAAGCAAGTGTGAACATGTGGGCCATGCGGGCCCCAGATCTCCAAGAAAGAAAAATGTCTAGACACGCTAGTGCCCCACAGCCACTCCATCCTCTCCTCCTCCCCTCTGTGGCTGCCTTTAGTGGACTTCATTAAAACTGTCAATTTTTTTTTCTTTTTGGTGGTACTGGGGTTTGAACTCAGGGCCTCACACTTGCTAGGCAGATGCTCTACCACTAGAACCACTCCCAGAGCTCAAATGGGTGACTATGGGAAACAACCACGTGCTGTATATGTTGAGAAGGCTAGAGGAGGGCTCGGTGTAGCTCAGATACAGAGCACTTGGCAGAACTGGGGCTTGAACTCAGGGCGTCTGGCTTGCTAGGCAGGTGCTCTACCATTTGAGCCACTCTGCCAGCCCTTGTTTTTGCTTTTCTGAGACAGGATCTCGCTGTATAGGCCGCCCTCCAACCCCCTGCCTCGGTCCCCCAGTGCTGGAACTACAGGTGTGCACCACCATGCCTGACTGATCTTCAATGCTTTCACCATAAAGAAACGATAAATGTTTGAGACGATGGATATGCTGCCAGACTTGCACATGACATAGTGTACACATATTCGTGTTTTGAAACACTGCAGGGCACCCACAGACGTACAAGTTTGATATGCCAATTTATAAAAATAACATATAATGGAAGGCAGCTCTCAAACAGCTAAGTGAGGAGAACACCTTAAGGAAACAGCCTGGGTCTCCATGGACGGGCATTAAAAAGCTTGGCACCAACATGAGTGCTTTTCTTCGGGTCAGGGTAAGATTCTACTCAATGCCGACAGTGAAGCTCAGAAGCTCAGTGGGGGAGGGGCAGGAAGACAGTGGAGAGCTGAAAGGGTTCAAAGCACACTGTGCACCTACACAGAACAGCCACAGCGAACCCCCCCCATTATTAATGTATGCTCATTCAAAAAAAAGAAAACATTTAACCCCTAAAATTATAAGCTCATCAAAATACTATTTTTTAAGCTGAGAAATATGAGAAGCTTGAGCTAGTTACTGTTTTGTGGCTTATAAAAGCTGCCTGAAAGGCATAGCTGAATCCTGACTGAGAACTGTGGTGCAGACTCTGACAGGCACACTGACCTGAGTGACTGTTGTGAGGTAACTTTTTTATAAGTGGGCAAACTCCCAACAGCCACATCACATGGGAATCTTCAAGGACCAGTAACTAAGGAGCAAATTACATTTTTAACCCCTAAACATTCATCTAAAGCTGAGTTTTGAAAGCCTTGCACCACACTGAAAGCAGTGAATATATTTTTCTGTTTTTCTCTTTTGGTGAACTCAGGGCCTTGCACTTGCTAGACAGGTGCTTTACCACTTAAGCCACATCTCCAGCTGTTTTCGCTTCAGTTATTTTTTGAATAGGGTCTCTGGGGCCAGCCTCAGACCACTATCCTCCTATCCATGCCCCCTACCATAGCCGGGAATACAAGTATACACTACAACACCCAGCTTGTTCATTGAGATATGGTCTCACTAACTTTTCATCTGGGCTGGACTTAAACTGTAATTCTACCAATCTCCACCTTCCAAGAAGCTGGGATTACAGATGTACACCACCATGCTTGGCAATATGCTTTTCTTAAAAACTCAAATTAGAGGCTGAGGGCATGTTTGCCGTGGCATTTGTAAGCCCCTGGGTTTGAGTCCCTAACACCAAAAAAAAAAAATGTGAAATTAGGAAAAATGACTTTTTATTAATGTTTTTATTAATGTATTGCATCATTTCTCTTTAGAAATAGTGTCTTAAAAATGTCAACTCACACTGGGTACCAGTGATTCCACCTGTAATCCTAGCTACCTGAGAGCTAAGATCAGGAGGCTCACAGCTCAAGGCCAGCCCAGGCAAATAGTTTTCAAGACCCCACTCCAGAATAACCAGAGCAAAATGCGCTGGAGGTGAAGCTCAAGTAGTAAGAGTATTGAGCTCAAACCCCAGTCCCACCAAAAAACAAGAACCAATCAACAATCCCAACTCACCATATTAGAATAGCAGGCGATACGATTTACACGTAGCTTTTCAATGATTTCTTCAGGGATCACAATGTCTTCAGACTTTGCATAATCTGCTATGTTCAAGGCTTCTGTGTACTGGCTTACTGAGCTATTCCAATCTTGGTCCCGATAAACATCATTTCCTTCATTAAAAAGATTTCTCACGAGAGCGCGCAAATACACCTACAAAGAGAAGGTGGCCTCGATAAGTGCTGTCCAAAGCAAGATAAGGCCAAGGAGATTTTCATGTTTGTGCTTAAAACTTCAGCAGAAAGGCAGAAGGGCCACTAGGAAACTGGGCAGGCGAACCAGGGGACATTCTCCTGCTTGCCTCTGCAACAGACATGTGTGACAGCTCCAATTCTGTGCCGAGGGCAAATCGCAGCAAGGGAGGCCTCAGTCACAGGCCGTGTTTAATGTGGCGGGTGCCTAGGGCCCTGCTTAGCGGGCACACGAGTGTGTGGGTGTGGAGTGTAAAATCTAGGAGAAGAGCAGGATTCTTTCTCATTTGTGCATCACCAGGGAGGCTGGACAACCCCACACTTCGGGGGACCATTTGTATTTCTTCTTTTGTAAACTATTTGCTTGGTCATTTACTGATTTCAGAGAGGGGCCACCCAACCATTTTCTCATCAAGTAAGTATATGCATTCATTTGGGAGGTACAAAAGTTTTTAATTTTTAATGAGACGACATTTTAAAAGTCCTTTACCAACACGACATCTGATAAATACTCAACTGTTTTGGTCCCTTTTTCTGACCTCCTGTCTAAGCTGACCAGGTTATTAAGGAAAATGGGACAAATCAACCATTAACAACTGATGTGACTTGTGACAGGCCACTTAACCTGTGTGGCCCCAGTTCCCCAGGTGGCTTCGGTGAGTTATGTCTGTGTGGAGAGATGGAAGGAAGCAGAGACAGCTGAATGGAAGGGGAAGGAGGGACGAGGCACAGAAAAATCCTTGGAAGCACCTGGTCCCTCAGAAACGATAAAGAGCAGGTGACCTGCCTATCTGCAGTCCAAGGCCCAAGAGCTGGCCTTGTCTTTGTGTCTCACTGGCCAGTTCACTGCTAGCTCTTCCCTCAGCTGACCAGTACTCTTTATTACTGTCAGGAGTCCTCCAAAATAAAAACGGAACCCACTCCATATTCCCTTTCTCCAACCCCACTCCCCTTGCTCTTGATAAAATGCAGGGCAACTTTCAAGTGCCTCAAAGATAAACCAGAGGAAAGACGACACAGGACAACTGTCCAAGTGCGCACCCCAAAGGCTGGCCTACGTGGGAGGGGTTGGCAAACCTTTCCTGCGAATGCCAGATAGTGAGTATTTTAAGCTTTGTGGGCCACGTGGTTTCTGTTGCAAATGCCATGTGGCACTAAAGGAGCCAGAGATAATACGTGAACAGCTGAGTATGGCTGGGCTGTTCCAATAAAACTTTATTTGTGAAAAGGGGCAGCTGGCCAGATCTGACCCACGAGGCCAAAGTTTGCCAACCCCTGCTGTAGCATACAGCTTCCAAGCCACTGTCCCGAGGCAGACCGCCCTGGGATCATTACCGCATATTGCTCCTGGGTCCCTGGATATGACAGCGGAGACCTACAAAGAAGAAAGAAACCAACTGTGATTATCGAGGTCCTGTCAGAGGGTGCTCAGCCAGAAGTCATCTCAAACTGTCGCTCCATTAGCTGCTGTAGCCTCCAAACACAGTATAAAGACATGTTTCTCCCTTGCTGGACTGTTTCATGTGGCTGCAGACATGAAGAAGAAATCTAAGCTAGTCCCAGCACAACCCAGCCCTGTCCTCCCAAATCCACTTCTATTAAAAGAAGGCCTAATTCTCCAGATGCCAAAAAGGTTAAAAATAGGACAGAACTACTAACACCATCTGACCCGATTTACTTTAGAATAATGTCTCCTTCCAGGAAGGAGCAAAGAGGTCCTGCTGCCCTGACATGTCTCCTCAGCCCAGGGCCATCTGCCACTGATGCCCTTCCTGACAAGAACGTCTGATCACAAAAATTCCTCTGTGCTGCCAGATGTGCACTTCAGTTATTTGTTATTCACTGGGGCTGTTCTTAGGAGAGTAAGTTCAAGTTTTTCAGTCTAATATTTTGGGAGCTACTACAGGATCAGTAACAATAAGATCCACTTTTGGGGTGGGGGTGGTCCAAATAATGTATATACATGTAAGTACATGAGAAAATTTAAAAAAAATGAGTCTAGGACATATGATCATAGCCAAGTAAAAGGAAACTGAACAACACTGCTCTTACTGTGAGCAGAAAATCAGCTCAGATGTACAGGTCATTGTTTAAAAGTCAATCTGACAAAACTTCCACTAATTGAAATGGGACAATTTGAGCTCTAAGAGAAATATTACTGAGGTGGATTTTTAAAAATATGTATATCTAAATTCATTAAATTCTCTGTAGCCCAAATATTAATTTACAATAATTAAGAAATACAAACTTTTACTGGATCTTCTTCAGAGGATGCTTAGAAAATAAAACCATTATTTTCAAAAGCAAAAAAAAAACCCACTTCAGAACACAGAATGCTGCAAAGGACAAGGGAAAACCGTGCTGGTGTGGAAATGTATCATTTCCCACCAAACTCAGAGGACCTGTTAAGCGTGACAGAACAGTTCTCCCGGCCTGCAAAATGCAGGGCCACCTAAGCAAAGAATCAGCAGGGCGGAACACAGGAAACGAGGCGGCAGCGCTTACTGGATAAACTGCAGTCCTTCCTTGATGTTCTGCTGCCTTTTTCTTCTCTCCTCGGACACACTGGACATGTTACCCCACACATCCGCTTGCTAAGTGAGCACTCTGCAAGAAACAAGGCACACAATTCCACGGGGCACCCCAAGCCTGGACTGCCATGAAAGCCTCAGCTGGAGGCCCAAGAATGACTTGCAGACACGGCCGCCTCCAACCTGGGGCTAGGGACACCAAGGGCCACAGCATTCGGTTTTCACTCTTCACAGCTCAACAGCTCTGCAGATCCTGTATGTATCTTCAAAAAGGCTCCGTGAAAAACCATTTCACCCCCTCTCCTCCTCTGGCTCCAGGTCTCTCTCCTCCATGTCTGCACACATGTGTAAGCCCCTGCTGGAACAGCCCCAGCCCTGCTTTGCTTCTGGAAGTTCTCCAGGATCCAAGAGCTTTCCCATCCGCCAGCCTCCCAGGAAGTCTAGCCTCCTTGTCCCATCTCCCAGCCTCCCAGAGAGTCTGGCCTCCTTGTAAACAAAGTCTAAACTTCCACAGATTTTGTTACACAAACTTCAGAAATAATCCTCGCTGGCACAAGTAGAAGGTACTTGCACTGGAGTTTTCTGGACAGTTAGGGTAGATGTCAACAAGTGTCAAACTCACCAGGCAGATTCCAGCAAGATAAAGAGCCCCAGAGAAGAGGCCTGAAGGCAATGTCAACTCCCAACGTCCTAAGCTGGGGGCTCCAGTCCCAGAATTCTACACCAGAAAATTGCTTATTTTGTGGTAGGAGTGTGGGGGGGGGAGGTCCTGTGCACTGCCTGATGTTAGCAGTCTCTCTGGCCTCTCCCGACATGCCAGTTGCACCTGACCCCACCTCACCCCAAGGGATGTGACAACCAACATGTCTCCAGATATTGCCAAATGTCCCCGGGCAGGTCGGGGAAGAGGCACAGCACCACCTCCAGTGGGAACCCCTGAGATCGAGTGTAAGCAGGCACGGCAGCACATAAACCGTGTGTTCAGACACAGGTGGCAGAAGGGAAATTTCACCCCGACTTCAAGTACGCAGCTGAAAAGTTTTCCTTTCCATCTTGCCCTCCACACATAGGCTGGTAACTGACATTACTCCTTCTCACCTCTTCAACGCTGCCAGTTCCAAACATTGGTACTTCAACTTAAAAGGTGATATTGTACTGAAGTGCTTCTATGAGAAAAGACGTCTGGCATCTGCTGTAAAACCTCTGGTGACTTCTAAAGGGAGGGACAGCACTCCCTCGCTTTGCGTGTATTTGAACAGTCCAGAATAAAAAGCTTAAGAACCCCATGACACAAAGCAAATGGCACTATTTCTGGAATTTGCTTTTAAAATAGCTTCACCAGCTGGGTGCCAGTGACTCACACCTGCAATCCTAGCTACTTCAGAGCTGAGATTGGGCGCTTTAAGGCCTGCCTGGGCAAATAGTCCAAGAAACACCCCCCTCCTCCCCCACCCCGCAATCTCCAAAATAACCAGAGTAAAATGGACTGGAGGTGTGGCTCAGTGGTACAGCACCTGCTTTGCAAGTGCAAAGCTCTGAGTTCAAACCCCAGTCCCACTAAATAAATAAATAAAATAGTTTAGCCAAAGGGAGAGAGGGGTAGAGTGGGAGGAAATGAAGCAAGAGTGCCAGAAACATGGACAGCTGCTCCAGCTGGATGGCGGGGTGTGGGGGTTCATTCTGTTTGCTTGTGTGTCCCTAAGAAATGGTATCTTTCAAATCATACTTGTGTGTGTATAAAGTTATTTAAGAAGGCACTATATTTAATTAAAAAATTAACTCAATATCAACCAAAAAGAAAATGGGATGAGTACATTGTACTGGGATTTAAAAAAAAGTGAGGAATAAAAGTGTCCGTAATATGACCCTGTTTATTTTTTTAAACGGGGGAGGGGGAATGAGTGCATACATTAGTATTTCCTTTTATATAATGAAATCAGTCCTGTAATCTGAGCTACTTGGGAGGCAGAGATCAAGAGAATTGCAGTTTGAAGCCAGCCTGGGCAAAGAGCTCAAGAGACCCTATCTCGAAAAAACCCATCACGAAAGGGCTCAAGGTGAAGGTTCCAAGCCCCAGTACCACAAAAAAAAAAAAAAAAAAAAACCCAACATGAAACAGGGCTGGCAGAGTGACTCAAATGGTAGAGCGCCTATCCAGCAAGCATGAGGCCCAGAGTTCAAACTCCAGTGCCAACAACATCAACAAAAATTTTTAAAGAAAAGTCTATGTAAAGCACATGTGAGGCCTGGATTCCATTTCCAGATTTGCTAAATAAATAAAAAGTCATGCACCCCAGCTCTATGATAGGCAAGAATGAAACAAAAACATTTCAGCTCTGAAGGTGAAGTAAGCATGGAATTTCTCCTTCTGTCACCGAGGTCCAAATATGGTTTATGTGCTACAGTCTACATAGCCCCCTCTGGGGATGATGACTTAAGGGATCACAGGCTTGTCTCTGCTTCATTTAAAATAGGACAAATTTCTCTTCGGTTTGGGGAGGGTCTGAGGGGTGCTAGAAGCCCAGAGCAGGGCCTCACGAATGCTTAGGAGCTGAGTGAGGAAGGGCAACAGGAGGACCCCTGCTCTCTCTAGCTGTGCATGCTGGGATGGGAAGTCACCTGAGGCTAAGAAGGGCCTCCTGGATAGTGACAACCCACCAGCCTAACAGCCTTAGAGCCATCTCCCAGAAAGTACCAGAACAGTTAGAACTTCACCCTCTCCCAAAGAGCTGACCACTCAGGCAAGTGAGTGAAAAGAGCGAATGCAGACAGTCCAGCAGCACTAAACACTCCCTCCCAGGACACAGGCCACACTGAAGAAGAATGAGATGGACATGTCAAGTTCAGTAATTTCTAAAAATTTCCCAAAATCATTTATGAACATTTTCAATTTCATAGTAAACTTCTTTTTCTTCTAGTGGCAGTGACAGGAAAGGAGTACACTTTAAATAGACTGAAAGCGGGTCATATGTAGAGCGAGAACAAGGACAGTGAACTGTCTTTTTAACAATGGAGGCCACACACCCATATACTACCCATACTCTACAATCCATATTTTCTGAGGCTGGGTGTGGTGGCAAACACCTGTAAACCCAGCACTCAGGAGGCTGAGGGAAGAAGGTAGGGAGTTCGAGGCCAGCCTGGGCTACATAGTAAGAATGTCTCAAAAAAAAAACAACAACAAGAAACAAAGTATTTTAATAGGACAGTAAAAAGGAATGTGTCCTTTCCAACAACTGCCACATCTGACTACCAACCTTGTTCCCAGCCTCTACCGTGTGCTCCAGAGCTACCTGGTGGATCAGAGCGTACTTGGCGGTGGAGCTGGCTAGGTGAGCCTTCGTCTGTGTAAAACTGATAGGCACAGGCACTGGTGGATGCCGGCGAGAACAGGCGTGGCCTGTGGCTCAGACAGCCATTTCCTGGTTGGGATGTGCACTACAGTTATTTGTCACTGATGGGGAAAGCAGGGGACACTAGGTACTACTCTTGCAATTTCCTGTCATCTATAATTATTTTCAAATAATAAAGTCAGAAGCGCTGTGCACATGCTCTTTCTGTACAAACTGGGGTTCTTAGCGTGTCCCTCGTGTCACATTTGCACAAGTGCCCCCTGTCAGAGGTGATTCCATGTCTGCACCCACACCAACGGTTCCACGATGCAACTATGCCACAGCTCAACCAGGCCCTGGGGACAAGCAGTCTCTGTTCACAACCTTGAAGGCTCACAGACCTCTCAAGTGTAAGCTGCATTTCTGAGGACTAAACAGCACGCATTTGTTCACTTTGCCAGCTCCTGTCAAGGTGTACCAAGTGACACTGGCACCAACAGTGTAAGAGGACCCCTGCCTCACCACCAAAGAACTACCGAACGTGCTGTCTCTGCCGCCCAGGCCAGTGAAAAAGTGAGAGGTGGCGAAGCCTGCCTGAGTCACTCATCAGTAAGGCTCCCTGCGACCTGCTCCTCATAGCCTAACCTGGCCCAGCCTGACCAGGTGAGCTTTCTTACTTATGGAACACTCTAGAAATTATGCAAAACGTACTACTCTGCTGCTGGTGCACTTACTGCGCACCCATCATTTCTTCGTCTATTTGTGCATGTATTTGTTTGTCTTGCTATGTGCTATGTAGTCCAGGCTGACCTTGAACTTGGGATCCTCCTGACTGGGCCTCCCAAGTGCTAGGATTACAGGCGTGGCCTCCACGCCCAGCCTAATGGCAATCTTTTGACTTTGGTTATGGGAACTTTGGACAGTGAGGTTTTTTTTTCTTTTTTGGGGGGGGAGGGGGAAGGGAGGCTGTGGGGGTGTTGTTTTTCTTTTTATTTTAAACATTTCATTTTGAAGTAGCTGCATTTATCAAGACTTTCTTTTATGTCTTCTGGAGTTTGACATACTCAGAAATATCTCACATCTCTGAAATCATAAAACACTTCTCTGACGTTTTCTTCTAGTACTACTTATGGTGCATGCCACTTTACTAAAAGAAGTGATTCATGAAAATATACATGGACTAAAAACCCATCATTTACTAAAAATTCCATCTCTCCCATACTGATATGCTTAAGGCCACATTTATCACAATCAGGTCTGCATTTCTAACTTGTTATGACCCTAAGGCTAAATGCTTTCCAGGAACCTCACCCTTGGCCCCCTTTCCCCAGTTCAGTACTAAAACCAACTTTAGCCAGTTGCTCAAGCCAGAACCTCAGTGTTGGCTTTTCTTTCTCTTTCACTCCACATCTAACCTGCTCACAAAGCCCACTGGCACTGGGCGTGGTGATACATAACTATAATCCCAGCGCTCAGGAGGCTGAGGCAGGAGGATTGAGAGTTCAAGTTCCAGAGCAGACTCTGTCACCCACCCTGTTTCCAAAAAAAAAACATGCCAGCCTCTCTCACAACCTCCTCTGCCCAAGTCACACCATCCCCACCTGGATCATTCAATGGTACCCTTCCCAAACTCTGTTCCTAGCTCCATCCCCCACCCCAACCCCAACCCCCTCCCTCATTCATCTCCTACACTAACAGAAGGCCTAGAGCTGAGCACCATAGCACTAGCCCACCATTCCAGCTACTAAGGAGGCAAGAGGACCACAAACTCAAGTCTAGCCTGAGCAACACAGGTCTTTGTCTCAAAACCAATCCAAGACAAAACAAAAACACAATTTGGTTACTGTACTCCTGTTTAAAATCCTTCAGTGGCTTCCCAAGACACAAGGAATAAAATGTCACTTCCTTACCAAGACCTGTGTCCCACTGTCCCTCCAGGTCTACCTGTGAAGCACCTGTCACCCTGGCCTTCTATGGGTTCCTATACTGACTCAAGTAGTCCACACTCTGAGCCAGGGACCTTCCTGTCCCCTCTGTCCATGGTGCACTTCCCAGTCCCCACCGAGCTAGCTCAACTTCATCCTGGAGTCCTGGCCTTCCTTTACCACCCTGCATGCACCAACCCCACCCTCACCCACTACAGGCCTAAGCGGGAACCTTGTCTTTCTCAGTACTGACTGTGTGAACATGTCTGGGTCCAGGTGAGGAGCCAGCTGGGTGCAAGAATGAACAAAGTGGCCCAGTGGAAAGAGCTACACCACACACAGTTCAGGGGCTCAGAGCTGCCAGGTGGGACTGTTCACAGAAGCAGCAGGAGGAGAGGAGGGCACCCAGAAGAGATGACTGCAGGCAACAGAGCTGACTAGGGGGCTCCTGTCCTTTGGGGATCAAGGCAGGAGTGCACCAATAGTGGGAACCAATTGGAGACAGCAACAGAGAAGAGCCTGAAGCCATACGGGACGCCTCAAGGGGGACGCCTCAAGGAGCACCTCCGTGCCTTTCCTTCACCCCCTTCTCCCTCAGTCAGAAGGAATGGGATGGGCGGGGAGGAGGGTAAACAATCTACTTCAAGAAGAAACTCAGTTAAGCAGGAGTCAGTTTCATTAAGATAACTCAACTTTTGGGATCAGCTGACAAGATTGCTAGTCATCCGGAAGTGACTTAAGAACACAAAGTACCCTGGCTCTTCACTAATTCTACGTTTAGTCAATTCCTGTTCAATGATGCACGTTGTCCTAAAGTCTAGTACAATGCCAGCAAGGGGACAAAAGTCTTCAGATCCAGCCTGTAGCTCCATTAGAAGACCCCAAGGAAAGTGAAGTGCAACTGCAACATAATGAGGCCGAAACAGTGGCTCTGATGACACCTGCTGCACTCAGTGTTAGTCATTCAGTCCTGATAACTGTAACAGAGCAATGACAGCCACCCCAGATGAGAACTAGGCAGTCGCAGCACTAGACTGTGCAGCCAGACGGGCTGGCCACAGCCTGAGTCCTGTCCAGCTCACCATTCTGCACCCCAAGTGCCAGAGACACCGGGAGGGAGGAGGGCCAGCACCTGTCTCAGGTGGCC